AGGTCATGTTCTCAACAATTCTCCATCCACTGAAGAACTACGGTGGTGGGAGTGGGGGCTGAGTGTGGGATTTCCCTAACCCCTAGACAGCAGGGCTCCAAGACAAGTCAGAGAATAGCCTTGCCCTCCCTACATCAGGAACAAAGTGGGGTTAGAGACATTTTTGTTTCAATTGGTGAAATGTTAATAGAGGCTAGTTGAACAGCTGTGATCTACACATATTAACTTCTCAATTTTGATTATTATTGTGGTTATGCAGAAGATAGAGCTAGCTAGCTAGCTAGATAGAGATAGATATAGACAGACAGATAGAAAGACAGATAGATGATATAGTCTCACTCTGTCACCCAGGCTGGAATGCAGTGGCATGAACATGGCTCACTACAGCCTCCACCTCCTGGTATCAGGCAATCCTCCCACCCCAGCCTCCCAAGTAGCTGGAATTACAGGCATGCACTACCATGACTGGCTATTTTTTTTATTATTTTTTGTAGAGATGGGGTCTCACTGTGTTGCCCAGGCTGGTCTTGAACTCCTGGCTCAAGTATTCTCCTGGTCTTGGCCTCCCAAAGTGCTGGGATTATAGGTGTGAGCCACCGCACCCAACCTCTGGAGAATATTTTGTAGGAAACAGATATTCAATTCAGTAGTGATGGGACATCATGTGGCAACATGGTTTAGGAAAAAAATTGTTTCTATTGGACTTGGAACTTTTCATTTATTTGAAATATTTTCCAAAATATTCATAACAGAAAAGGAAGTGGATTCTTACCTCATATCATGAACATATTATTCATATCCCATAAAAAAATTTTTTTTAAAGAAGGGAAATGTCAGGGCTGGGGAAAGGCTGTGATATATTAGGATAGCTTCGATGGCACTTATTGCTAATGTTCTAATCAGTAGTAGAGGGAAGAGTTTACGGGGTTTTCTTAATTGTTTTAATCTATATATTAATTACAAATGTTCTTTCGCTTGTATTACTATATAACAAAAATTTAAAGATTTTATTATTTAGAACAGTTTTATATTTATAGAAATACTGCAGCCAGTTTCCCCCCAATATGAACATCTTATACTAGAATAATACATTTGCCACAATTACGGAACCAGTAGTGATACATTCTTAACTAAAATCCATAATTTATTGATATTTCCTTAGCTTTTACCTAATGTCTTTGGTACAGGATCCCACTCATGACCACATGACACTTGCTTATGTCTCCTTACGTCCTCATGGCAATGAGTTTCTCAGATTTTTCTTAATGTTTTATGACCTTCACAGTTTTAATGAGTATTGGCCAAGAATTTTGTAGGATGCTCCTCTATTAAAATTTGCCTGATGTTTTTATCATGATTAGAGAGGTGTTGTGAGTTTTTAGGAGGAAGAACAAAGAGAAAAAGTGCCATCTTCACATTATTATACATACATATGTTTTGGTATGTATAATCAACATGACATCACTCTTGATGTTAACCTTGATCACCTGGCTGAAGAAGTACTTGTCAGGTTTTTCCATTATAAAATTCTTTTCACTGCTTTTTCCATACCGTACTCTTTGGAAAGAAGTCACTAGGCTCAGCCCCACACATGAGGAGTGGAGTGTTATGTTCTACCTCCATGAAGGTATGATTATCTACATAAATTATGATTGATCTACATGATTTATCTACATAAATTATTTGAAATGGTTTTACAAGGGAGATTTGTCTCTTCATTTCCCCTTTCTTATGTATTCAATCTCCTTTTATTTATTCAACCATTTATTCATATTGGTATGGACTCATGGGTATATTTCCTAAGGACAGTCATTCTGTTTCTTTTCTAGGTTTTAGTTAAATGTTTCTTAAGTTAGTTTTCCCATAGGCCTATAGTAAAAAATACTTAAGGATATACTTTCTTTCCATTACATACAAATATATACACATATGCACATGCATATATGTAAAATACATTTGTTGTATACACATGTAATACATAGGTATATGTGTTATACACATTTTTAAAAATTTTTACTTTGCTGATTTATTTCTATTACTTTGTATTCCACAAATGATTTGAGATGACTTACAGAAATAAAAACACGTACATTATAATAGGTTGGGGGTGGAGAAAATATTAGGAAGAATGAAAAAGAAGTGCTCACAAACAAGATAAAGCCAGGGATACGGGTAGTTTACAAAATGCCTAAGATCCTGTACAGTTTGGGGCCTCAAATTTGGCTGTCAGCCTCCTGGCAGCCAAAACAAAGAGAAAACTATCATCAGTATAAAGCTATCTGAAGCTTTAATAAGTAGTCTCACTTTCATTTTTGAAAATAATCTTAAATTTTCTTCATTAGGTTATTTAGAAGAGTGTCTTTTATACGTCCCATGACTAAAGTATTTCTAAAAACTCATTTTAATATACAGAACATTTGAATATTATGCTTTTGATAACCTGGGGTTTTCTTCATCACTAAGAATACTTTATTCAATTTTTGTAAATGAACATTTCAGAAGGTGTTTAAGGAAATAAGTCTGGCCACAGGTAAAACTCCTCAGATGAAAATGTCAGTATGCTGTCATGCAGGAGGCTCTCGGGGCATCAACAGTATTTCGCTGAAATTACCATGGTTTGATATCTGGCTTATAGGCTCTGGGATCTGAATTTGTCAATATACTGAGAATAGGCTCGTTTAACTAAACTCAAGAGGTTAATATTTAACACCCAAATTCCAATTTATTTATATACGATGAGAAGTATATCAGAAAACGCCCAGATTCTTGTGTCCTCATTCCTGGCACATTCCCTTCCTCTAATTAAACTACTTGAATTGCCAAACAATCAAACTTCAGCACATTTATTCTTACCTTCAGCAGAACTTATGCAGCTCAGTAAAAGTTAAAGGAACAACAAGGAACCAGAAGAGACATTAGACAAATCAAAATTCAGCAGTATTTGAATCTAGCTCAGAGTTATGTATTTATCTCCTAACTGGGCCTGGCCTGGCCAAGGGAGCCAGGGAGTCTTTCCTTTCTGGACAGAGTGCAATCATTTGAATATTTATGTCCTTGCAAAATTCATGATGAAATTTAATTCCCAATGTAACAGTATTAAGAGTTGAGGCCTTTTAATACAAGATTGGGCCATGAGGGCTCCATCCTCATGCATGAGATTAGTGTCCTTATAAAAGCACTTGAGGGAGTAAGTTTGTCCCTTCAGCTCTTCTGCCTCATGCGAACACGGTTTGTACCTTCTGCCATGTGAGGACACAGCAAGAGATGTCATGTTTGAAGCAGAGAGCCCTCACCAGATACCACATCTGTTGGTGTCTTGATCTTAGACTTCCCAGCCTCTAGAATATTAGGACATAAATGGCTGTTATTATAAATTACCTGGGTAATTTAGGGTATTTTGCTATAGCAGTTGGAACAGACTGAGAGACAGAGCTTTGAATGAATAGCATTTGTTGCTGTGAACCTTTCTCAAGATTCCATGGATAACTAAGCCCTCTTATGAATGGCACAGACCTTCTTTAACTCTTTGCAGATAACTTGCTATTTTTGTTTTCCATTTCGTTGTTAATTCCTGTTCCTTTGTAGATTTGACTTTTCTCTATGACCAATTTTAGAATCTTTGTCTTCAGTATTCCGCAGTTTCACTAAAATGTACTTAAAAGTGGATTTCTTTTTATTTACCATCCTTGAAATATGTTGTATTGCTTCTCTTTGTGAATTCATGTCTTCCATCAATTCTGGAAAATTTTACAGCTCTATTTTTTGATATTGTACATCCATTCTCTGTATTCCCACTTTCTAAAACTTTAATTTTATATAATATATACCTTCTCATTCTAGTCTCCATTCCACATGAACTTATTCATCTTTATCTTATTGTGGGTAAATTCTCTGATCTATGCTTCCAGCTACTAATTCTTTCTTTGGCTGTATCTAATCTGTTTAATCTAAATAGTTTTTAGTTTCAATTATATATTTCACACTTAAACATTATGTTTGATTTTAAAACACATATGGTCATTTTATAGTCTCTTATTTACTCACCTCTTATAAGGAAATATTAAATATTTAAATATTTTAGCCAGCTATTTTATATTCTGTAACCAGTAATTCCAATATCTGTAGTCCATTTAAATGATTTCAAACCTAAAAGACAACTCCCATATCTACAGTCTGATCCACTGAGTTCACTTTATAACGTAACTCTTCAAGAGCAGTGTTATCACTGCTCATTATCCAATTCTTGAAGGAAACTTCTAACAGTACATTCTCTTTTTACATATGTTCATTTTTTCTGCTTTACTGTTTAAGTCCTCTATGACCTTGTTTGTTTACATTATCTATAAGGCAGAGCTATGAGAATTCCTCAATAATTGTAATTATGTCCTTTAATTTTTAATGTCTAAATTTCATTATGCATTTTTATGTCATTTGGTACAGCTTTATTGTGCATTATACTTGTTATTAATATGAAATTCTCTTACCTTAATTTTCTTTTTACTTGCTTTAAATTCTTAGTCCAGTGTTAATATTGCTACTCCTGATTTCTGGAGAGGCAGTGTAGTGTCTTTGAACATGCCTCAGTCAGACTTAAATCTAAATTCAAATCATGGTTCCATAATTTATTTACTAGTTTTTAGTAATCCCTCTGGGCTTTAGTCTTCTTATCTGTCAACTGAGGTTAATAATACCTACCTCATATAATTATAGATATGTCATGTTAGTGAGTATATGAAAATTGCTTGGCACATGGTAGACATCCAACAGATCACAGTTATTTTTGTCTCCCCAGTACATCTGTGCCCTTTCTTCTTTAAATCTATGGTGTTATTTACAAAATAGGAATATTTTGTAGATGGCATATCATTAGCTTTGCAGTTTGAGTCTACATTTTAAAGATAAAAACCTATTTTCATTTATTGTAATGATCACAACCTTTGTCTTCATTTAATTTTCTTGTTTCCTTTCCATCTTTTGCTGTACAGACTTAGTTTCTTTGCTTTTTTTTTTTTTTTTTTTTTTTTGCATTGATACGAATAGTTTCACTAATTCCACTCGTGGTTACTGTAAACATTCTTAAAACTTTGTTTTATGGGATTATCAGAATAACAAAATAATGTAGTCCCTTTATGGACTATAAGTAATTTAATGCTTTTCTTTCCCTATTTCATATCCCCATATTTGGCACAATAATTTAATTCACTTACTTCATTATTTTGTTTTGCATTGTATTTTACATCTACATTTACACTATTAACTTACTTGTACATACTTAAATGGTTTCGGTGTGAAAAAGCAGCTTCTGACCTAGCATTCACACTATGTGGTGGTGTTCTCCTGCTGAACATTTAACAATTCTCAAATCTCTAACATCAGATGAGGTCACCGTAATCCGGATAAAATGAGATATTGTAATCATGCCTGAGCACAGACAAAAACAAAGTCACTGTGCAAACCATAAATAGCCAACCTCTTCTTGTGGCTAACATGGATGACTGTTGCTTCTTTCCTTTCCTCCCATCCACAACACAAAAATTAAGATACCCAATTGCAAAATCACTCCCACTTTCTGACAGCACTCACTCAATCCAGAAGAAACCCGTGCTTGCTTCAGCCCTCCTTAAAATTAGCTACATGTGCTCAAATTCTTAGCAAGCCCCTCCTTACACCTTCCCACTGAGAAGCACCTATAGACCCCAGTGGTGTGCAGTCTCTCTTGCTGCAGCAAGCATCAATAAAAACTAATTTTGATTACAATTATGCCCTGGTGATCTTTGATGACATCAACAAATGATGAGCATCAACAAATGTTTGCCGCAGAATTTTCTACCATCACCTACTCCCCAATCGTAAAGTTTCGAATTATCTCTCTATGATAGATACCCTGTCCCCTGGTTGGACTATCAGCCCTATTAAGACTCAAGCCGGACAGCTTTCTCTTGTGCCTGGAATATGGCAGGCTCATAATTAGATGAGGAAAGGATGAATATTTTTCTCTTACGCATTTCTATAAATATTTTAGAGGGAAATTAGAAGACGATTAAGTAGTTTGTACTGGGCCTACTTGTCTTGATTTTTTGGAAACTGTATAATTTTGACTAATTTCTGCACATCAGGATCTGTAATTGTTATTTTTATATCAATAAAAAATACCTCTAATAATTCTATTGGAAAAATTGATTACATAAAATGAAAATAACTTGGCTAACGCTCACAACTATGTAAAAAAATGCATTGGAGAGATACAAAAGAAATACATGAAAACATTGGCAGCAGTTACCTTTAGGTGATAGAACTGTGGGTTAATTTTACTCTTCTCTGTATTTTCCAAATTTTCTGAAGTCACTATGATTGCATTTTAACAACGGTTAAAAGTATTGATTTCCATACTCACAGGGGAAAAACAGCTATGCCTAGAAACTGGTCTCTAAAACATTTCTCACAGTGGAGAGGCTCAAATGTCATGAATGTGTGAATACTACTAACAAGTCAAAAAACGGTTTTGCAATGTGTTCAAGCCACATTATCCTAGAGGTTAACTGCTCAGTAGAATCTCACAAAGAGTCAAAGTCAGATGACAAAGCCATTAGTGTGAAGAAACAGTAAAATCATAAAAAAGAAGAGTCAGGACAAGAAATACCTGAAGCAAAATGACACAAAATGGATGTACTATAAATTATGGATGAAAGTAACAGGGTGAGGAAATCAGAGCATAAACAAGCTTGGGCGTGCCTGCTCTACCTCTTTGTCACTTAATTAACTCAAGTCTTCCACTACCAACAGTGTTCTCACACAGTGAATCCTTGAAATAATATCACCACTCCCTTCCACCACAATCAATCATCAATAAAATGCAAAAAAAAAAAAAAAAGGTTGTACTTAAACACTATTGGAGAAGGAATGAATAAATGCATTAATTTCTACTACTACTATTTGTTTATGCTAAATTGTAAACTAAAATTCTTAATTCGATCATGGTCTTATATACAGAGTGGATGGTTTCTTGTTTTTACTCCCCCTACCTTAAACCCCAATCCATTTCCCCTTCCTAACAGCACCCTGAATTTCCAATCCTCCCACAACTGTTAGCTATATGCTTTGTGTGATACTTACTTCACACTCAAACACAGGATATCCTAGGGAAGTATTAATAAATAAAATTCAATCAGAGTCAATGATGAGATGTTTCTAGGATTTCTGGAAAATATATGCTCTTTTAGTCTGTCCTTGCCCTGGATGGAAGATCTGAGGATGTAAGTGTGGAATTATCACATCCTGTCAAGAACCTGGCATTACAGGAGAGGTTTTTTATTTGTTGAAGACAAGGTCTTGCTTTGCTGCCCAGGCTGGACTGTAGTGATGCAATCATGGCTCACTGCAGCTTTGACCTCCTGGGCTCAAGTGATCTTCCCACCCCAGCCTGCTGAGTAGCTGGGACTACAGGCATGTGGCACCACACCCAGCTGATCTGTTTTTAAATTTTTTCTGTAGAGACAAGGTCTCACTATATTGCCTCAGCTGGTCTCAAACTCCTGGGCTCAAGCTATCCTCCCGACCCAGCCTCCCAAAGTGTTTTGATTACAGGTGTGAGCCACTGTGCCCAGGTAAGAGTTCTGTATAGAGTTTGAGGGCAAAACCAGCACTAAGGAAGGCAGAGTGGAGATGAGTCCTTGCTAACATTGGGTGAGCTGCTCGATTTAAACTGAATCAAAGCTAGGGCTACCTCTAATTTTCTCAGTTATGTCATTCAAAAATTTTTCTTTGCTACTTAAGTCACTTGAAGTTAGATTTCTGTCACATGTATCTGTTAAATTCCTGATTAATATTAATATATAAATAAAAGTTTCTTAACTCAGTGAATTTACTCTGAAGTGACAACTACACATGTATTTTGGTAAAGAAATATACCAAGTGTGTTCACTTGGTAATCATCCACTAAGCAGCACATGTATAATCTGCCTACTTTACCATATGGATGTTATTGCTTATGTTCAAAATGTCAGGTTCATGAAAAGGGGCGGGGAAAAGAAATGCTGTTGTATATATTAAGCCATCAATATACAAATCACACTGCTTTCTAATTAAAAAAAAAAAAAAGAAAAAAAAGGCTTATCATAAATAGTCTATTAGATCAGAGTTCCAGGTTCAGCTGAGGTCAAAATCTACTCTAAAGCTCCTTGCACCCAGGAGGCACCTCAACGAATACCTGTTTTTAAATAAGTAAACTTTGGGGTTTGTTGTTGAAACCTTAAAGAAAAATATGACTCTTACTTACTCACAGGGGACTTATAATTTATAAGGCAAGCAAGATAAAGACAGGGCCATCATAGGTATAATTCTAAAAGTGAGAATAGGAAAAGCAAGTTATGGTTAAAAAAATGGATGTGATGAAATTGGATCTGCCATTAGGATAAAAAATAATTCATGTGACAGAGCTAGGAAACTCTTAGGTGGAAAAGATCCCACAAAACCCATAAATCATATTTAATGTTAGTGGCAGAGAATCTCATAAATGTCTAGAGAATCTCATAAATGTCTGAAGAACAAAACACAGTTTGTATTATGCTCAAACTAAGGCATTTTATTAGCTGGCTTTACAACTTAAATAATATCTTGGCTTTCAAAGGAACAGCTTCCACTAATTCCAAACTAAACTTTCACAAGTTTACTTGTTTGGGGAGGGACATTCTTATGGTCACCACAAAATACCTTTATTATAACCTTCCCCAAATCTTTTCTTAGCGTTAACTGGAAAAAAAAAAAAAAAAAAAAGCTTAGGTCAAATATCAACTGCCTGAAAAACCCAATTAAGTTACTTTTCCTTAAAACATGTGCAGTATAATTGAATCAAAAGAGAAAACTGCAAATACATTGTGCTTTGGCCAGAAGTAGAGTTCATTTCATGATGATTCAGTATCTTCGGATACTATTTTTGACACTTGCCATAAATCTCAGCGAAGTAAATCCATTTACTAACATTTCAAAGGGAAAGTTGTTTTTAACATTAGCCTTTCTTTGCCAGTTGGCAACTTATAATTTTTGCAGAGGTGATTATTAATACTTCTTTGCAGCTAATTTTAGCTTTAATTTTTCCTCTCATCTAAAAAAATATCAATTGCACATTGTTCCTTTGACTTAATGACTGGATTCTTTGAAACAGAGGTTAGCTATTTCACTGTATCCGGAAACACGGCAGAAATTCTGACCCATCATTCTTTTATCTGTTAAAGCAAAAAAAAAAAGACATTTGCTATCATTTAATCAATCACATTATAAGAACAACAATGGGAAAATTACAGTGAAAGAATTATTATATCAAGATAAAATCTTTTTCTTTGTTCTGCAACTTTCTTCCTTTCCTAGTCATGCTATTTCTGCAATTTACTATACTCTCTCCATTATTCTCCACAAACAACTCTATCTTATTTTCAGAACGCTCTTTCAGAAAGAATTCCTTGATAGATTAAATGTGATGTTGATGACATCAGCTACCATATTGGATGCTTCGTATGTGCCGACTGCTGTGCCGAGTTCTTTGCACGTTATCATTTCATTTCACAACAACTCTAGGAGGTAGATTCTATTATCCTATTTTTATACTGAAGGAGGTAAATTGAAGAAGAAATGCATTTATGCTGCTAAAAGTTGGTGTAGCAAGAACACAAACGGGCAGTGTAACTCTGAAAGCTGTTTTCTTCACCTCCACCCCACACCGCCTTCCATATGCATTTTACTTAAATGATGTATATAGAGTTTCTTGGTGCTTTAGCAATTTAAAAGAAAGACCTTTCATGATATGTGTAACTCACTTTGGATGCAATTTAAAAAGTGTGTTATATCCAATTAAATGAACTAGTTTTAGGCAGAAAACAATCATGTGGAGTAATGAAGTACCCTTTAAAATACAATATTCATAAGATTCATATTAATTATGATAATGTAGAAGAAATTAAATCACTGAAATTTTCTGGTTCATTTCTGGCTATTTTCTCCAGCAATTAGAATTTAATATAAACTCTAATTTTTTATTCTAATAGCATAACTGTGTTTCCTTTAAGCCATAAAATCTCATTGAAGATTTTGTCAATCTTCCAAATATAACTCTATCCCTTAAAGGACCACTACAACCTAAAATGCGTAAGGCCTCTCCTCATCAATGCTTCTTCTTTCATTCCCTCAATGCTTTCTTTTCATTCCTAAAAGGTAAAAAAGAAAAGGCATCATAACTATGGATATATAATGAGTCACTTTAAAATAAAATACCTCAGTGACAACACCAGCAGCTATTGTAGAACCACCGTAACGTAGCATGAACCTCCCCAGCTCTTTAAAGTCTTTATACAGCTCAAGAGCTATTGGTCTTTGTGTCTGCAGCTCTACCAATGCATTCTGGCCTTTAGTCAAAAACCTATTCAGACAAAAAAAAGAACAAATGAATATATGATAGACATGAATAAACGTAATAATGACAACCTGAAAAACAAATATTTCACATTTAACCAACATATCAACTGCGTCTTTCAAAACCAAGAAAAATATTTTTTGAATAAAAATACATGTCTTTGGACTTTCTGCTTTAGTTGAAAGAAATGAGGAGTAATTCTAGATTTAAGAAACATTAGGTAGTTCATTTTTACCAGTCTTCCAAATATAACTCTATCCCTTACAGGACCACCATAGCCTAAAATGCTTAGGGCCCCTCCTCATGAAAGAAATGCTTTTTCTTCCATTCCCTCAAGAAAGTGAGTTCAATTATCTAATAAAGAAAATTATACTAAGGCTTATTTCTATGAAAAAAGTATTTGCAAAGCGGAATATAATGCCCTATGTCTTTCCTAGTAAAACTGTAATTTGGGGAATGTGTATTAGGAAGTTATCTGTAAAGAGGACAATCAATCAAGCAATCTCTCTGTTTCCCCACACAGGAATAATAGTTCCTTAGCAGAGTTCAGGACAAAAATCACATAAGTAGCTTTTCCACAATATGATACTTGTAAAATATGAAGGAAGACTGGGCACGGATCAGACTGTAAATGGTTTCATAAAAATAAGTAAACAAAAAATCTCTAGGGTAGGTCCTGCTCAGACTTAGTGAGAGAGGCAGAACCTAAAAAGGGACATTTTGGAATTGTTTTCTAATTTAATTTTGATGTACTCTAGAAGTATAGTGGACAGAAATCATAAACTCTCCTTTTGAAAGATTAGTTCAGGGGTAGACAGACTAAAAGAAGGTTCTAAAAAAATACACCAAAAATTCCAAATATCAGTTTCGGACAATTTCAGGCTTAAGCTCATTCCTTAGGAAGGAGAGCATCTAATACATACATGGCTTGTTCCTAATTTAGTTTCTAAAACATTAAATTCCATACTGCATAATCAAGAGCCTACAACGTACCTGAACAGGAATGAAAGGGAAAAGCCAAACAGCTGTGCAAAATAAAAGGATAAAGCTACAAATAAGGTGACAGGGAACACAAACATGAGAATATATGTTAAACTCTACCATCATTGAGCTAGGATTTTGTAGCAGAAGCATGGAGGGGAAGACTCAGGATTATATATGATGAGCCAATTTCAGACTGAAAATTCTGTATCAATTGTCTGGGTCAAACAACCTGGCTCCTGAACAAAAGAATGTAAGTTATGTAAACCAACTAACTAGGTTAGAATCCTGCCTCTATCACTTGAGCTTTGTGTCACTTGCTAGATGCTTCACAGGACTGCTAAGAACATACATCATGTGAAAGCATTCACAGTACAACCTAAAAAATAGTGGTCCTCAAGAAATGTTAGTCGTATAGTTATATCGTGTTTCTCAGAACATTATGGCAAACACTCATGCCAGAAGCTCAAGACTCAGGTTAAATATAAAGATCTACCTTTAGAAGAGAGGTAAAGCAGCCCTTCCTCCTAACAGTGAAACAGGCAAGGGTTTAGAGCAATGTAAGATTTCCTCTTCCACTTGCAGTCAGCCTATTAACCCACTACCCACGTTTGGCCTCTTCTGCAGGTGTAAAAGATGAGGAACACCAAGGACAGAAAAAAGGGGACTTGGGATGTTATTGGAAAAGACGTTGGAAGGGAAACCCCAAAGCTAAAGCAGCCAAACCAAATTGCAATTAGCCTTAACTTGGATTAGGGTAAGAAATCTTTTTTTTCTTTTTTTTTCGGGGGAGATGGAGTTTCACTCTTTTGCCCAGGCTGAAGTGAAGTGGCGCGATCATCGCTCACTGCAACCTCCGCCCACCGGGTTCAAGGGATTCTCCTGCCTCAGACTCCTGAGTAGCTGGGATTACAGTTGTGAGCCACCACACACAACTAATTTTTGTATTTTTAGTATAGACAGGGTTTCATCATGTTGGCCAAGCTGGTCTCAAACTCTAGACCTCAGGTGATCCGCCTGCCTCTGCCTCCCAAAGTGCTAGGATTACAGGCATGAGCCACCATGCCCGGCCAAGAAATCTACTTTGTAACATTCATCTCTAGTCTTGTATTTTGTTTTTATTTACATACTTAGTTTATGAGGAAGTACTTAAAAAATCCCAATCTTGTCCTAGCCAAAGGGAAAGTGTCACACCTAGGCCTGGACATTAATGCTAATCAGCAGGCCCAACAGGATGCTGATCACCTCAACTTAAGGTTCCACGTGGACTTTGAGCAAAAAACAAAAACAAAACAAAACAAAAAACTTTCCAGATGGGAAAAGAGCAGGCACTACAGAGTGTGTAGATTACTTTCTTCTTAGCTTAGCGTAGGGAATGATCTTATTAAGGAGGTGACAAGAAAGTTAAACACGCAGTAGAAATTTGGAACCAGTGTCTAGACATACTTTTTAAAACGTAGGTCTGGTTTTTGAAATGCCCTTATTTTCACATCATCAGTATCTACGGCTTGAAACGTACACACATATATAAGCTTATATTTACGTTTATTTATAATTCACATCCTCCACCACCACACATAACAGAAGTTATATCTAGTATTCATATCTAAACAAAAGCTTAAATACTTGCTTGTTTTTATGTTTGTTTTAATCTAGTCCTTGAAAAAAATAATTTCTGGAACAATTAAAAATGGGTTTCACTTACCACAAAGAGAAATACTACACAAATGAGCTAATCTTTAAAAAATTGGCTTAAATTGCTTATCATTTCTGTATTAAAACACTCACTTAGGCTTTTTCTTTGTGACTTCACCCGTGCTTTTGTTTAAGACACTAATCAATCGTTTAATAACGGCGGGTTCACTGACAGTTTGGTAGTGTAACAGCACCTAAAACAAAAAAAATTATAACACTAAAAATCTGCATAGTATCGCTGTCCTTTTCTTTTGGCACTTACACTTAATTATCTTCAATTCAGTGCTACTGCTTGGAGTCTTTCAGGATCTCCAGTTGCTTCCTCTAAGTGCCACCACTCTAATCAGGTGGTTACTTAACTTACTAAGGGGAAAAAAGTCATGAGAGGCATTTCAAATTTCTACCGCACCAATTGCTGTATCAACTTAGCTCAGTGCATAACCTGTCAGCTTTTTCCTCTGTACAGATGGAGGGTAACAACATCTTAGGGTTGTTGTAAAGATTAAGTAAGATAATTCGTCATTTAGAACAAATGTTTTTGTCATTTTTATTATTATAAGTAGTAGGGAAAGAACCTGGGATTGAATCTCAACTCTTTCTCTTCTATCTGTCTGTACCTCAGTTTCCTCAAGTGTAAAATAAGTAGGCTTTTATAGTGTTTTGACGAAAATTAAATAGGATCAGACACAGTGCCTGCCATGGTAGATGTTCAATGAATATGAATTGTCTCATACAAATTAGAGAGGGGGATAATACCATATTCACAGTAATTAATGTATTCATTGTTGAATAAGAATATTATAATAAATCAGAGGTAAAGAGGAAGGACAACAACATTTTTAACTACAGAGTACAAGCACTGTATGATACGATTTATAAGTTCTATTTAATTTATGCGGCAACTGAGTAGGCCCTGAAGTCAGACAGACCTGGGTTCAAATCACCTCTAGTTGTGTGAACTTTGGGGCAAGTTCTTTTTTTTTGGAAGCAGAGTCTTGCTCTGTTGTCCAGGCAGGGAGTGCAGTGGTGCAATCTCAGCTCACTGCAACTTCTACCTCCCAGGTTCAGGCAATTCTCCTACCTCAGCCCCTAGAGCAGCTGGGATTACAGGTGCACGACACCACACCCAGCTAGTTTTTGTACTTTTAGTACAGACGGGGTTTCACCATGTTGGCCAGCCTGGTCTCGAACTCCTGACCTCAGGTGATCTGCCTGTCTTGGCCTCCCAAAGTGCTGGGATTACAGGCATAACCCATTGTGCCTGGCCTGGCGCAATTTCTTTAACAATCTTCTACCCCTAAAATCCCCAGCCTCTGGTTCCTTATCACTGAAATGAGGAAAATCAGATAATGTTATTTTAAAGTGGTGCCTGGCACATGGCAAGCATTCAGTTAACTGATGGTCTTATATATTAGCTATTATTTCCATGTTTTATATGTAAGGAAAATTAAAATCAAAAAGGTTAAGCAATTTAACGTGGCCATGATGCTACGTGTAGAGCTGAATTTTAGGCTTATGTCAGTTGAAACTACAAATTGAAAGCTCTTCCCACTTGAGTTTACAAGGAGGCCTATAGAAATCATACAAATGGAACCTTTCGCTTCATGAAGATGAAGCTAAGGTTTGGATACACCCTAATCCAAACCAGAACATTGATTGACTATCCTCGCTCAAATAATAAGTGTGCAATAAGCATGAAGTGTGTAATATGTCTACAGTTTGGAGGTATTAGAAAGACCAATTCCCAGGACATATCAGAACTATCAAAGTTTCATTGGTTTATAAGGACCATTTAATGCTGTTTGTAGAAACACTGACACTTCTACTCTGGAATTTCCTAGCCAAAACAGTTTGCACATTCAGAAAACAGAAATGCAAGAGGGGCTGTAGATGCACAATCCTAGACTTTGGGAACTTTCCAAACCAACTCATTCAATTTAAAAAAAACAAAACAAAACAAAAAGGCACAGCTGAGCCTCCATTACTCCAAAAAGACAAAAGTGGTTTTATTTTTCAATGACACTTGAGGAGTCAGAACTAGAAAGATTCCAAAAGAATTAAAAACTGACTACTGGGGGTGAAGAACTTGCCACAACGCATGGTAAAGTGATGAGAAACACCTCTGTGCATTCAAAGCATTCAGGTCTTAACCAGTATCAACATAACATAAATATAAGTCTAAGTATCTAAGAAACATTTCTTTTGTAACAAACAACTTATGTAAACAAGTAGGATTCACTTCGCTTAGCCAAGGTGTGACAAAGGAACTGGAACCAATCTCCATGGCCAAATTTGAAAGAACAGAGGCACACAAACCTAATTAAGTTCTTTCTACCCTTGGTGAGCTATGTGTGCATTCCAGGTAAAATCAGGGTGAAAAAAGGATGGGTGGTGGCAGCATGAAGTTAGGTCTCATATGTCTTTTTATCTCCTCAGTATCTTGCAAATAGTAGCTCAAACAAATTATTACACGAAAATAACAGAGAGAAGTGACTGTACACTATCTCAACATTTTAATTGAGATTATATATAACCAAAGTAATCTATAATTCAAAGCAATGTGCGGCATAGTGTAATAGAAAAAAAAGCACTGGATTTCAGAGTAAAGGTAACGAATAAGGAGTCCTGGCTTAATCACTTATTATTCATATAGAACAACCTCTCAGAGGGTTCAATTCCTTAACTACAAATGGGAACCATACTAATACAGGTCCACAATCACTTATCTGCAATTCCCAAGTCCCAGAAGACTGAAAATCTGAAGTTTTTTCCTAAGTCTGTAACAAGCCCATTTAAGTGCAAAACCAGACTTGAAGTGAGGCAATGTACAGATCTTAATTTATCTCAGTTAGTGTTAATAAGTTCTGGTGCAAAAACATTAATATTTTGATTTTAGAGTGTTGTTCCCTTCTGTTGTGTAACTTTATGCATTATTTACCTTTCTAAAGTTCTAACATTTCTGAGTTCTAAAACCATTGGCCTAAAGGGTTTCAGGTAAAGGCTGGGATTCTAGACTTCATGTAGTGTTATGAGAATCAAATTATCTAGTGTTTTATAAACTCAAATGGGCTACATAACCTGTTAGGTGGCCAAATAGATTATTTTCCTTAATTATCTAGATAACCTGTATTTTAAAAATATTAACAAATACATAGTCAATTGGTTTTCAACAAGGGTACCAGGACCATTCAATAGGGAAAGAACAGTCTTTTCAACTCATGGTGCTGGGAAAATTGGATATCCATATGCAAAACAATGAAGTTCTACCTTACATATGTACAAAAATTAACTGAGAATGGATCAAAGACCTAAATATAAAAGCAAAAACAACAAAACTCTTAGAAGAGAACATAGCACAAAAGCTTTATGACATTGGATTTGGCAATGATTTCTTGAATACACCAAAAACATAGGCAACAAAGGAAAAAATAAACTGTACTTCGACCAAATTAAAAACTTTCGTGCAGCAAAGGACACTATCAAGAGAATGAAAAGGCAGCCTAGAGAATAGGAGAACATATCTGCAAATCACGTATGTAATAGGGGATGATATTAAGAATTTCTATTAATAACAACACAACCTAATTCAAAATGTGCAAAGGATTTAAAAGGACATTTCTCAAAGATATACAAATGGCTAATAAGCACATGAAAAGATGTTCAGCATCTAATTAGAGAAATGCAAATCAAAACCACCATAAGACACCACTTAACAACTATTAGTTTGCCTATTATATTTTTTAAAATCCCTCTCCCACACCCCACCCCTAGAAAACTTGTTATTTAATGTGTTGACAAGGAAGTAGAGAAAAAAGAACCCTTATGCACTGCTGGTGGGAATGTAAAATGGTAGAGCCCCTGTGGAAAATGGTTTAGCAGTTCCTCCAAAAGTTAAACATAGAATTACCATATGATCCAGCAATTCCACTCCTAGGCATATGCCCAAAAGAAAGGAAAGCATGAATCCCAATAGATACTTGTACAACCGTTTTCACAGCAGCATTATTCATAACAGCCAAAAGATGGAAATAATCCAAATATGCATCAACAGATAAATGGATTTTTAAAAGGTGGTATATACATGCAATGGAATGTTATTCAGGCTTAAAAAGGGATGAAATTCTGATACACACTACAACACGGACAAACCATGAAAACAATTTGCTAAGTGAAATAAGCCAGACACAAAAAGACAAATATTGTGTGATTCCACTTACATAAGGAACCTAGAACAGGCAAATTCACAGAGAAAGTAAGTAGAAGAATGGTTACCAGGGGATACCAAGAGCAAATAATGGGAAGTTACTGTTTAATGGGTACAGATTTTCAGTTTGGGATGTTGAAAAAGTTCTGCAGATGAATAGTAGCGATGACTGGTCGGGCCCAGTGGCTCAACGCCTGTAATCCCAGCACTTTGGTAGGCCAAAGCTGGTGGATCACCTAAGGTCAGGAGTTGGGGATCAGCCTGGCCAACAAGGTGAAACCCCGTCTCCATTAAAAATACAAAAAATTAGCCAGCCGTGGTGGCACACACCTGCAGTCCCAGCTACTCGGGAGGCTGAGGCAGTTACGGGAGGCTGAGGCAGGAGAACTGCTTGAGCCCAGAAGGCAGAGGTTGCAGTGAGCCAAGATTGTGCCACTGTACTCTAGCCTGGACACGAGAGACTCCATCTCAAGGAAAAAAAAAAAAAAGGAATCATAGTGATGACTGCACAACATTGTGGAGGTACTTAATGCCACTGATTGTACACTTAAAAGTGGTAAATCCCATGCTTTATATATATATAAAATAATAAAATCAAATATAAATTAACTTAAAGTCTAATCTATTCTTCTATTATTTCCACTTAAAAAAATATAGAGTAAGAAGAGAGAAGATTCAAATAAGCTCAATTCAAAATGAAAATGGAGACATTAGAAACGACACCACAGAAATACAAAAGATCATTTCAGACTATTATAAACACATCCATGCACACAAATTGAAAAATCTAGAGGAAATGGATAAATCCTGGAAACATATAACCCTCCAAGCTTGAATCAGGAAGAAATAAGAAATCCTAAACAGACCAATATCAAGCAGTGAGAATAAATCAGTAATAAAAAAATTGCCAACAACAACAAAAAAGCCCAGGGCCAGATGGATCCATAGCCAAATTCTACCAGACATTCAAAGAAATAACACCAATCCTACTGAAATTATTAAAAGATTGAGAAAGAGAGAATCCTAACTCATTCCATAAAGCCAGTATCACCACCCTGATAACAAAACCAGGAAAGGACATAACAAAAAAAGAAAACTACAGACCAATATCGCTGATAAACATAGACGCAAAAATCCCTAACAAAATACTGGCAAACAAAATCCAACAGCATATCCAAAAGATATTTTACCATGATTAAGGAGGTTTCCTCCCAGGGATGCAGGAATGGTTCAGCATATGCAAGTCAATAAATGTGATTCTTCACTGAAACAATTAAAAGTAAAAAAAACCCAGATGATCATCTCAATAGATGTGGAAAAAGCACTAGATAAAATCCAGGATCCCTTAATGATAAAAACTTCAATAAACTAGGCAAAGAGGAAACATACCTCAAAATAATAAAAGCCACATACGACAAACCCACAGCCAACATCATACTAAATGGGGAAAAGCTGAAAGCATTCCCATTAAGAACTGAAACAAGACAAGGATGTTCACTCTCACCACTTATATTAAACACAGTACTGGAAGTCCTAGCCAGAGCAATCAGGCAAAAGAAAGAAATAAAGGGCATCCAAATTGGAAAACAGTAGTCAAACTGTCTCTGTTTGCCAATGATATAATCACATACCTAGAAAACCCTAAAGACTCCACCCAAACAACACCTAGATTTGATAAATGAATTCAGTAAAGTCTCGGGTTACAAAATCAATGTACACAAATCAGTAGCACCAACAACGATCAAGCTGAGAATCAAATCAAGAACAAGAACTTAATCCCTTTTACAACAGCTACAAAACCAATCAACCAACTCACCTAGGAATGTACTTAGCCAAGGAGGTGAAAGATCTCTTACAAGGAGAACTACAAAACACTGCTGAAAGAAATCATGGATGACAAATGAGCAGAGATACATCCCATGCTCATGAAATGGAAGAATCAATATCGTGGAAGAGACCACACTGCCCAAAGCAATCTACAGATTTGGTACAATTCCTGTCAAAATACCAACATCATTTTCCACAAGATTAGAAAAAACAATTCTAAAATTCATATGGAACCAAAAGAGAGCCCAATTAGCCAAAGCAATCCTAAGCAAAAAAAGCAAATCTGAAGGCATCACATTACCTTACTTCAAATTATACTACAGGCTGTAATAACCAAAATAGCATGTTACTGGTATAAAGGTAGATTCATAGACCAATGGAACAGAATAGAGAACTCAGAAACAAAGTCAAATACTTAACAACCAACTGATCTTTGACAAGGCATGCAAAAACATAAATTGGGGAGAGGACACCCTATTCAACAGATGGTGCTGGGAAATCTGGATAGCTACATATGGAGAATGAAAACTGGATTCCTATCTCTCACCACATGCAAGAGTCAACTCAAGAGGGACTTGGATCAAGGACCTGAAACCATGGAAATTCTGGAGGAAAACCTGGGAGAGGTTCCTCTGGACATCGACCTAGATAAAGAATTTATGACTAAGACCCCAAAAGCAGATTCAATGGAAAAGCTAAAGAGCTAGTACACAGCAAAGAAATCCTGAATATAGTAAACAGACAACCCACAGAATGAAAGAAAATATTTGCAAACTATGCATCTGACAGGTAGTTTTCAGAATCTACAAAAGACTCAAATCAGCAAGAAAAAAAAAAACCGAACAATTACATCAGGAAATGGGCAAGTGACATGAAGAGACACTTCTCAAAAGAAGACATACAAATGGCCAAGAAACATATGAAAACATGCTCAACATCATTAATCATCAAGGAAGTACAAATCAAAGCCACAATGGGATACCACCTTCCTCCAGCCAGAATGGCCATTATTAAAAAGTCAAAAAACAATAGATGTTGCCATGTATGCGATGAAGAAGTGAACACTTGTGCACTGCTGGTAGGAATGCGGATTGGTATAGCCTCTGAAGAAAACAGTATGGAGATTTCTCAAAGAACTAAAAGTAGATCTACCATTTGATCTAGTGCTCTCACTACTGGGTATCTACCCAAAGGAAAATAAGTCATTATGTCAAAAAGATACCTGAATGCACATGTTTATCACAGCACAATTTACAGTTGTAAGAATGTGGAACCAACCTAAGTGCCCATCAACCAATGAGTGGATAGAGGAAATGTATATGTGCACCATGGAATACTACTCAGCCATACAAAGGGTAGAGATAGTGTGTTTTGCAGCAACTTGGATAGAGCTGGAGGATATTATTCTAAGTGAAGTAACTCAAGAATGAAAAATCAAATAGCATATGTGCTTACTTAAAAGTGGGAGCTAAGCTATGGGTACACAAAGACATATAGAACAGTATAGAGGACACTGGAGACTCAGTAGCGGGTAGGGCTTGGGGGAGGGTCAGGGATAAAAAACTACATCTTGGGTACAATGTACACTACTTGGGTGATGGATACACTAAAATCTTAGATTTCACCATTATACAATTTATCCATGTAATCAAAAACCACTAGTTGGTTAAAAAAAAAAAAAAAAAGAAGTCAAAAGAAAATTGACAAATAAATAAAAAACAAAGGAAAAAATCACTTGTTCCCCAAAAGCTACTGAAATAAAATAGGGGAAATTTAAATACATTTATGTAGTATTATGGTATTAGTCCCTAAATAGTAAAATTTTAATAGCTTAGGAAACCTTTGTTTGCTTAAAAAAATTTTTTTTGAAGTTTTTCTCCCATAGGGAGTAGATTGACAAAATATGACCATTTTTTCTGAAACAAATTTGATCCTGGTATTTCTGAATCAATATATGCCAGTAGAATCTCCTAAAGCAACACTGAAAAACTTGCAATTCATGCTTATTTTTAAGAAACTACAGTAGTCAGGTAGACAATATTACTATTCAGTCACTACTGACCTCTTGACCTCTCTCCCTCTCCATTGGCGAATATTATTACTGCATGAGTAAAAATATGCAGTAACCAACCTCTCCTTTGCCCCATAGGACATACTGCTTTCTATGAATGAGTTCCATTCGCTCACAACAATTAACCTGTTGTTACTTGATGATCAATACATGAATTCTGAATATTTAAGTATCTTCAACTATAGTAATTTTTTTTAAAGCTTTCATTTCTTTTTTAGTGCATGGAAGAAATGGAATATAATTATGAAAGTAAAGTACCTAAATAGCACCTTAAAATATAATTTTACATGATCAAATTAATGTAGAAATGATTACAAAGAATTATAAAGTACATGATTATCTAAAATATAAGTGTATCAGTATAAATGACCCAAATAAATGTATTGCCAACCTCTAAACCACTATCGCTAACTTTAAAAAGTCTTACTTTTATTTCAAAGATGCATCAAATGGTAGAAACGTCACTGAGAAACATTTACTGTCATGCAGAATCTGTACTATATGAGCTAATTAGAAAAAAAAAAAAAAAGTCTAATGGGAAAATGGTCATCCGTCATGTGACAAAAGCAAGGTACCAAACTATAAGAGTATGGTCCCAAATATCTCAAAACAATTACACATAAAACAAAAAATCCAGACTATTAACAAGTAACAGCTTTTCAGGGCAGGTAACATTATTGTATAAAATCTCCCTCTTCCCATAAAATGTATACGTTCAAATGATGCTGGCAAACCAACCTTACAACATGCAGGGTCTGAATGTGTTGCTTCAGCACAATTAAAGTTTACTGTCTATCTAGGATACCCAGAATACACTCAATACATACCAGTATATACAAATACTGGGTGGATAATATGCTCACATTAAAACACACTGACATGTAAAGATACATATTTATGGATTATGCAAATATATGGCATTTTAATTTTCTATATTTTTATGTGTTTTCAAAAATTTTCTAAACAATCTATTACTTTTATTATCAGAAAAAGCAAATCGACATATTAAACAAAATGGAAACCCAGAATGATTCAACCTAAAAAACTTAGGTAAACTTTAGAACACAGTGAAAATGTGTCTATCATTTTTCCCTGGACAAATTTTATTATCATTACTTTGTATCCTATTTATTATGAAATATCTTCTCAATGCCTTTTAAAAAGCCCCAGGCTCAAGGATCAAAATAAAAATGATTTTCTAATCATAAGTTTTTCTGGATTACAGTAATAAGATGTTAATTGAAAATAAATATAGTATCACCACTTGTAAAGAAAGTTATCACTTTTAGGATAAAATTACTTTGAATTTATAAAAACAGGAATAAAACATTTGGGAACTTACAGGAAATCCTTTAGTGATAGGAATTTCAATATTAAAGATGAGGATTCGGGCTCTGAAGCGAGTGCAAGCTTTAATAGGTTCTTTGGGGCCACAAAATACGCAGCCAACACTGTAAGAACAAAAAAAGAGGAAAGGTAGTTGGGGGACAAATTTATATCAAATAGAAAGACCTCAAAAACATTTACAAGGAAAGTAAAACAATTAGTTAGGGACTTTTTCTAAATATTCCCTTCTGAGCTAAAACATGGCTTTAAACCATTATTAACCTTACATCATTTTTACACATTAGAGCTTTCACTCAAAGCACATGCCAAGTATGTTTGCTGACATGTATTAATTAAAATTTTAAGTAAGTTTGCTTACATTTCCACAGGTGTCTATTTTTGGTCAAATGAAATTCAAAACTGAACTAGTAGATTGCAAAATACATGTGTTTAGAGGTGAGGTCCTATATGAAGACAACAGTTGCTTAAACTCATTTTCTCACTCACTTGATTTTGATGATATCCATCCCAACCAAAGTAAGACTAACATGATCGCCTGCTGCTGCCCAATCAACAGGTTCATCATGCAGAGTGATTCCTGGAAATGAGTAAGAACCAAAGCATACAGTGAAACACCTCGATATCAAACCATAACAACCAACAGAGTTTGGCTGATTTGTGCTTCATCAGTCACTACTCATCATTTTCAATATGAATGGATTGAGAATAAGAAGTGTAACTGTGAGCGTTGAGGAAAACACATTTCCTCTAGAACTGACTCTTCTAGAATACCACCCTAAACATAAAGTGACTTGTATTTGCCCATAAAAGGCCGACTTCTGCTTATTTAATCAAGATTTTTAAACTAATTGACACAATTGGTATATTCATTAAACAGGCCCCATTCAAATATTTCTATTATATTAATGGATACAGACAAAACACAGTTCAAGTTACTCATAATGACATAAAAGATGGGACTGGAGAAGATGTCTAGCAGTATTTTCTTGAGTTTTGCTTTTAATTAGACAACCACCTAAACAAGTAATCCTTGTTTTCCAAGTAACCCATGGGACACGTACTCTCAGTCAGAATTTCAAATGGTCCTCTCAGCAGGCCCCTTAACTACTCCTGGCTCAAAAGAACTTCTTTCCAGAGAGAGATCTGCGTACTAATGATTGCTTATATGAAAAGAAAAATATTAAGGAAATAGTGATAAGAAAATTTAATTTAAAAATGATCCTAGGTGTTGCTATATATCTGGAGATATACATCTATTTACCTAGACATAGTCCTGAAGGTAGTCGGGGAGGGCAGTTCCCAAGGGCAATACTCAGCTATCTTATTCAAAGGCTTTAAAAATATATCCCATATTTTCTGATTTTATGGAATCCATTTATGGATTAAGTTCCTTTCCATAGGAATGTAGGCCTTTTGACAAAGAGAACGTGTAGGCCAACCATTGTGGATAGTTCTTGATTGACATGTTGACTTGTTCTTAGTAAATTATAATCCACCCATATCTTTCTGAAAATACTCATTTCCTATGCAGCAGGGGGAGTTTCTGACTTTTAGGGAGCTCAAGGATTTAACTTTAAGAGCTCTGAGACAATCTAGAGTTTTATGCAAAATATCATGTATGTGCACATCTGCATTCATCTTGAGAAAAGAAGGCATAACTTTCTTCAAGTATCAGAAATTCTTCCTCCCAAACATGTTAGCAATTATGGTATTAAGGAATGTTTGCTAAATATCAACTTACTAGATTTCACTTTAAAATGTAAATTTAGAATGACCGTATCTGAATTTTGCTATGAAATACGGAATTAAAAAGAGAAGCTAGGTATTTATATACAAAAGATATTGCCTTTGGCTTAAAAATTTGTAGAGGTTTCACACTACAAGTTCAATTAACAGTATAAAATTTTCCAAAGGTAATTATATTATCTGGTTCTTCTTCCCCTCAATGATGTTATACTGTTTCACATATGACATTTATCAAAAAACTTTTCTCACTGGACAAACATTACAAAAAGAAGCCCTTTTTTAATACTCCATGAGCTTGATATGTTAATAAAGTAAAAAAAGTAATTTAGAATTTCTTTTTGTTGGTAGTAGATTCAGTCAAGTGTTTCTTTTGGGACAGTACTGGTTAGAGAGCCACAGTAGTACCCAAAAATGTTGAGACAGAAGAGTGCATTCAAGAATCAAGTAAACTAAGCAAAAGCAGTAAGGTTAGAAATCGAAGACTGAGAATCTCTCCGTTAAGTTAAAAGTCTGGCTCTTAAGGAGTAGGGTGGTTCTTCCCTGGGGCTTCTGATAAGACTTCTTTCTTAACAAACACTGATTAAAGACAATACTTTAGAGTTTACATGTGGAAAGTATAGAGAAGAGGGCGGTAAAGAATGTGAGACTTTCAGAGGTGACTAAGGATTTTAGAGATTACAAGGGAGCCAGTCTCAAGGTCTGTGATAACTTTAGGATCATGGTTTTAATTTATGGCTCTTAATCATAAAAAAATTCTTGTTCTCAAAAAAGATCATTAACATACCAAAAAAATAGTGTTTCAAAAGTATTATAGCTCTAATCACTTTAAAAAGCAAAAGCAGACACCTGTACTTGCACACAATGAACAGATATATAGAAAATGACACTGTTTTTAAAGTGCATATTACTTTTTATCAAAACAGAAATTTCATGATCCCTAGTGGGCAGAAATAAAAAGTTCAAATGGAAATAACTGGTTTTCGTTCCCTTACTCATCTTTAAATATAGTTTAAACCATGTAACTTCAATAGATACTAATTTCTTAAACTTTTCAAGAAATCTTCTTTTAAAGAGAGCATATTAATTCAAGAAAAACATACATTCAAATTTATAAAGTAGTCAGGTAAATGTAAACTATAAATTAAGAGTAACAGAGAAAAAAATACTAAAATCTAAAAAATTTTTACATTTTCAATAGGTTATACTTCAGCTTTAAGTGGTTACAAATAATATTATTTTATAGTATAAAACAGATCTTCAGAAATCAGAGGCTTAAAGTTGGAAGCCAGAATAAAAGAGGCATGGAATTAGAAAGTTTTAGTCAAAATTTGGAAAATAACACACATGTACATGTAACATATAACATGTATACATATACATAAATATATATGTATGTATTAGATGTATTAGAAGACAAAAATAATTATCAGCCATTACAAAAAAAATATTAGATCTATATGCAGAAACAGTGACTGGTAATTTAAATTAGTTCAATTTCTCTTTTCAACATTGGGTTTTTTTCCATTTGAATCTTACTTATATCTTCGTATAAAATATACCTACATTTTTGGCATAAACATGATTGAAGTTGTTAATTTATAGTTTTCTGAAACATACATTTCAAAGTAACAGACTATAGAAGGCTGCTTTGCCATTGACTAGTTAGGGTCAGGCTGGGACTAGATCTAATTTCTGCTACAGAATATTATTCCAAATATATCTGTTAGGTATCTATACATATCTGGTTAAATCCTAACCAGGCTTCTCAAATCAGTGTCAAAAACAGAATGCTACCACAGTTAGAATGTTACATGTACATACATATAGACACAGTCACAACAGAAAAAAATCGTTTAATGTTTTCACATTTTAATCTTCAACAGTCAGTATCATTTTGACAGTCAGTTACAATTTCAGTAAGAGGTTACTTACTTTGGAGTTGTAACTAAACTACTTTTTAAAAATCTGCTGTCTCAACTTAAGGCCTGTTTAGCAAAAGCATCTTGTAGATAAATACCTTTTACGGTACAAGTTTCATTAGGAGGCATTGCCTGTAGTCGGTCACCAGTTTGGATATAACCAGCTTCAATTTTACCAGTTATGCAAAATCCAGATCCTTGATCTGCAAAACATACCAAAATCTTACAATTCATACAGCAATGTTATCTGATGATTAATACTGTTAACTATACTTAGTTCCCAAGTAGTCATATAAAACTAGCCGTTCAATGGACATTAAATAATAGTCATTTCAGAATTAACATCTCCACTAAGTATGTCATACCACACTTTACTTTTTTTTTTTTTTTGCAAATAAGACTTATATTACAAAAAAAAAGGTTCATTCCTTTCTCAAATATTCATTGAGAAATAATAAATATTTGAGTGCCAGACATTATACTAAACTCTGGGGATAAAAAAATAAAAATGTAAGTCCCTGCCCATAAAGATATACTAGTGAAGAGAAAGATGAAAACAATTACATTGTCCTGAGACAAATGATATTTAAAATATACAATAGAAACAGAAAGGTGCACCAAAGAATCCATGATGGTGAGAATAGACATCAGGGCACTCTGAAGAAGGAGTAAGTGTTTATTAGGTAACTTGTATGCATGGGTAGGGAGAAAAAGGAAGACACTGCTGCCCAGGAAACTGTGTGTGCAAAGGCATAACCAAATGTGGGATGGGCTAAGAGCCATGTGTCACTTGTTGGGGCTATGGGGAGGGGGCCATATAGAATAATGAAGAAAAGGCAAGACAGCAGGCAACAGAGATAGGCAAGGGAGAAATAATAAAGGGGTCTCATAAATCACGCTTAGGGTTTAAATTTCATCCTGCAGTTAAGTAATAAGAAGCCAGTAAATACTGTGACCGGAGAAGTAAGGTGATGGTATTTCTGTCTTAAGTAGAGGCTGATACAAATGCACAAACTTACTACAGAAAGGGAATAAACTCAAGAATTCGGGAATAAGGAATAACAAGTTTGGAGTGGTAAGGAAAGTGAAGACTAATGACAGACGGGAAAATCTGAGATGATGATGCATTAACTGTGAGATATGAAACTAAGGACAAGATCCATTTTAGGCTTGGTAAATCTGAAGTGTCTATGAGACATACACATGCAGAAGTTGCATTCCGGGGGGACAAATCACACCACATTCCATAAGAATGGTAACCCTAAAAGAACACTCTCCCAGGACAGATGTCCAGTAGTGCTTAGACAAGTGAGTGGAGAATGAGTGAAAAGGTTTGGGTTGGAGATACAGATTTGGGAAGCATCAAGATGCAGTAGGTAGAGAAACTCATGGATGTCAGTTTGAAAGGACTTGCAGAGTAAGAAGAGGTCTGAGGCATAGCAGAACACTGTTTAAGAGACAGAGAATGAGGAGCCCACAGAGAAGATATAGAGCGGTCAGAGAAACAGACAGGTTAACAGGAGAAAGCAGGTCACAGAAACCAAAGGAGGAGTTTCAAGGTGGATGTGGCTACCAGCATCAGAACCAATGCCAAATTCAAGTAAGATAGAATTGAAAGTGTATATTGACTTTGGCAACCAAGAGGTCATTTCATGACCTCAGGAGGAACACACTCAGGAGAGCAGCGTAGGCGGAAGCCAGGAAGCAGCCTGAAAGGGGAACAGGAGGTGAGAAAGTACAGTCAGTAAACACTGTTAATCAAAGAAAAGTAACCACCTCTTGTATTCTTGACAAACAATGGGCATCTTGGAAACTATTAGCATATTTCCTCTATTACTAGAACACTGGAAGCTAATAATGATAATGATAAATTTCAATTTCATTGCATGATTTTTTCAAAGCACCTTCATTCATTCATTTTTTTATTCATGTATTAAATGTATTATGTGCCAGGCACTGGGTTAGGGCTGCAGATATAGATAAAGAAGAGACAGTACTTGCCTTCAAGGAGTTCCTAATCTAAGTGGGATAAACAGACAGCATAGAAAAAATTATAACGCTGCATGAAAGCACAATGACAGAGGGTACAGGGAATACAGAGGGAACACATCAGGGAATGTGGGCAGGTAAGCACGCCAGTTATCAATTTACTGCTGCTCAGTTCCAGATTCACTCTGCATTGCCGGCTCTGTGACAATGGAGATTAGGAGGACAAATGACACCCTTACAGTTTTTATTATTCTAATAATAAATCTTACATCCTTTTATTTATTGAGTTTTTAAATTGTATTTCCATTTTATGGTCTTCTATACGGGATATTGCCCATATTAAGTTAGTTATATTCTTAGGTATTTAATATATCATCTCTTCCAGCAAGCTCTGAACCTCTTTTATGTTGGTCCTTCCTCAGGCCTACCTATAAAGTTTCTGTATATCTTTTAGTTGCATTGTTATCATAGTTAATAATTCTTTATATTACATTTCCCATTTCACCTATGTGTAGTATCTAACTCCTAAGTGGACCCAGACTGCTACAGATGGATAGGAAATGGACAAGTAAAGAGAAAGAACAATACAACAGGGAAGTATGGGTAGACATGTGGCAATAAACACATCCTGTCTGGTTAAGAAACAATAAACAATCCAGTTTGGTTGAAGGATTTGAAAACTAAAGGAATCTAATGGAAGGAAAAAAAAAAACTATAAAGTTAGAAAGACAAAAGGCAAGGTTTTCTTATGCTTGAAAGATGAGAAATGGTGAGTAAACTAAAGCTAAGTGACTAAAACTGTGCATTTTAAGATTAATCTGGCAATGATCCATACTTGGGCATGGAGAAGAGAGACTCTGAAGGCAACATACTGTCTTAACTTAGTCCAGGAAAGAAGGTTAGGAGGGAATGGGGAAAAGGGGGCTATACTGAAGAAGCACTCAGAGGTAGCACTTACCTTTGAAAACATCAGACACACATAATCTAAAAGGCTTGTCAATAGATCGCTGGGGAGGCTTAAAGGAATCTGGGAAAAAAAAATTGCAAAAGGCAAGGTTTAATTTAAAATTAAATGTCACTTCAATAAACTCATTATAATCCCACTTCTCCTAGAAAGTAACTACTTTTTGTAATTACTAATAGCAAATTAACTGTCACTAATATACACATTGAGCATCCCAAATCTGAAATTCTGAAATCTGAAATGCCCCAAAATCTGAAACTTTTTGAGCGCTGATATAATGCTCTAAGGAAATGCTCATTGGAGCATTTCGGATTTCAGATTTTTGAATTTGGGCTGCTCAACTGGTAAGTATAATGTAAATATTCCAAAATCCACTCCCCAAAAAAATTAAAATCCCAAACACTTTGGGTCCCAAGCATTTCAGCTAAGGCATATTCAACCAAGTAATAGTTTGTAGTTTATAAAATGAATGTTAATCTCATTTAATTTTAACAATAGTCTATAGATATGTAAACCAGGCACTAGGCTCATTAACTGAGGAAAACTGAACACTAGACAGGTTAAGTATTGCACATGATGACAAAACAGGCAACTTAGTTCCTCTGACTACAAATCCTATGCTTTTTCACACATGTGACTATCTCCCAGAAAGAACTCTAAATAATAATACCAAGTTTATAATGCATTAAAGCTAGAATGGCAGCATACTTACCAATTTGTTCTAATAAACATAGTCCTTTATACCATTTTGTGAGTTCACTTGACTGAGATCTTGTGATTAGATTTTCACCACTGAGACCACTTGTAGGAATAAAAGCTACATCACTCTCCTATTAAAAAGAATGAGTTAAGAAACTTAATACAACATTTTTTAAAACGTTAAAAGATTCACCATTACCATAACTGCACGAAGTTTGCAAAAGCAACAATGTACTTTTTAAAAGGTAATAGAAATCATAGAACTACAGCCCCAAAGTCATCTGATCCAATTAATTTTCAACCTTTTTGATTGTGGAAAACTTGCAAATTTATTCCAAAATATTCAAGCATTTGGTAACAAAGGCATATTACAGATGCTTGCTGGACAAATTATTCCCTATCAGTTTCCACATTCCTCTATGACCTCCCTAAACCTATACCATCTAATTTAATAAGTAGGGTAAAAGTATTTTGCTTACATAAAAACCCCAAATATTAAACATATGCAATTTTCTAAGGTGAAATAATCCAAAGAATATATTATATACATGATACTCAAGAGAAAATAAAGCAAAGAGAATTAAACAAATTTAATAAGAATATCAAAGTATTAGTTTTTCCTCTCATATCAGTAAGATGACTTAAGGAAAGTAATAACAAATAAATCTGAAATGATCTTACCTTAAAACCTGCTTGCTTAAGAAAGTGCCCAAGTTTTCCAGTAATCTCTTGAAATCTTTCTTGTTGCCAATTAACCTGATAAAGATCCAATTTATTTTTAAAACTATGCTTCAGAACATGATACATAAAATTTAAATTTCTGCAATGAAATATAATCAAGACTATATCAAATATAAATATAAAATCTACTAAAATCAAAACACAGAATATCAAACTTTGCTAGTAATATGATCTAAAAGTAACTGTTCCTAAAACAGAAAGCCTAGAAATAGTCTCTAGTACATTTAGAATTTTCTATATATGCTAAAAGTGATTTCAAATTTGGGGGGAAAAAGTGAGTATTTTACTCACTTTTGCTTGGACCAACTGTTAGAACAAAATAAAATAATTAGCACTCCCCTCAAGCCAAATAGACTAAAAAAGTATACGTAATATGAACTCTGGATAATGACATGCCACTGCAGTATTTAGGGGTCTGCAACTTACATGGAAATGCATGCCAAAGAAATGGATTAATGGATGGATAAAGAAGTAGATAGAGCAACCAATATGTGATCAAGTATGAGGCAGAATCTTAACAAGTGGGTATAATATGGATGTTTATTGTAAAATTTTTTTCGCTTTATAGTGAAATTTTTCATGGTCAAATGCTGGAAAAAAATTAAAAGTACATGTAATACTGATACCATAAAGGAACTAATAGCAAATGTGGGTGAATCAGATCCCAGGGTAACAAAATACCTAAGCAGGCTGGGTGCAGTGACCCACACCTATAATCCTAGCACTCTGAGAGGCTGAGGCAGGAGGATAGCTTGAGGTCAGGAGTTCCAGTCTAGCCTGGGCAACACAGTGGGATACTATTGCTCCAAAAAATTAAAAATTAGCACGGCATGGGGCACACACCTGTAGACCCAGCTACTGGGGAGACTGACATGGGAGGACTGCTTGAGCCCAGGAATTGAGGCTGCAGTAAGCTATGATGGCACCACAGCACTCCAGCCTGGGCAACAGAGTGAGACCCCCATCTCAAAAAAAAAAAAAAAAGAAAAGAAAAAGAAAATACCTAGGCATAAAGATAGAAGTCAAAAGGAACTATTTATAAGTTTGAGTATATGTCCAAAACATACCATAAACAAAAAGTAAAATAACAAATTGGAAAAGATATCTAAGAGAGGATGGAGGGGTAATAACTTTAATAAATAAAGTATGTTTACAAACCGATAAGAAAAAAATACAGTTATATAAATGAGGAAATTATATAAATAATTCCCAAAAGAAAAAACAAATTGTTAATCAACAAAACATATTTAAATGCGAACATTCACAGAACAGTAAATGTTTTAAAAAAGAGGAATCATGTTTTATACATAAATTGGGAAAACAATTTTGTAATAACAGCAGTGGTGATAAGAGTTTAGAAAAGTAAATACACCATATGTGCCAGAAGTAAATAACCAGAATTTTGCTCAAAGGCATTTTAATCATGTTCAGCAAGTCTTAAAAGGTATATTCCCTTAAGCCCAGAAATTTCCATGGAATGAACCATTTCTAAATACATATGCAGGAAATGTTCAAAAGTAAATGTTTAATAAATTATATCTTTAAAATAGACTAGAATTCAGTCATAAAAACAATACCCTCTTCATCTAAGGATTATTAATTACTTGGAAACATGTACAAGACAAGAAAATTATCTTTTTTTTAAAAAGAAGATGATAAAACAGATAACCCAATTTTATAAATGAAAAGATTCTTATCTATAAAAATAAATTGCATGAATATACAAAATGAAATGTTGTAAGTTTCTGGGTGGGAAAGAGAATTGGAAATATAGGTTTATTTCTGATTTTTATACTTTCATTCTGCTATAATAAACATCTATTATTTTATAATTTAAAACAATTTTTAGGTTTTAAAAATTAATTTTGAAAATAAGATGTTCTTGCTTAAAAATTACTAGCACCTCTTTTATGATGAGAGCAGAGAATTTATTTTTAAAAACATGGCAACTGACTAATAAAATATACACTAGTGACATCTGAGGTCATCTATATGAGCAGAATAACATCTTAATTAGCATCTTAAACAAATCTTCACAAACCCCTTAAATACCTGATCCATTTTATTAACTGCAACAGCAAGCTGCGTCACTCCCAGAGAACGGACCAAGAGTCCATGCTCTCGTGTTTGTCCTCCAGTCTCAAATCCAGCTTCAAACTCTCCCCTGCTGGCATCTACAACTAAAACAGCTACATCCGCCTAAAGAAGAAAAATAATCAAAACCAGAAAAAATGTTTCAGCATTTTAATTCAAAGGACAGATTATTCAATTAATTATGTTGTCAAATTTTTAAAGGAAGACCCTAACTACCCCCATCAAAACAAATCAAACAAAAGACTCCCAAAGATGGATTAAAATTTTACATAAAAGTCACCAAAAATAATGACATAAAGACCAAGAAAAAATGTCCATATTTGATTATATAACAATTAAAATATCTAAGCAAAGGAGGAAAAATATAAACAAAATTAAAACATAAATAAACAGCAACCAGGCACAGTGGCTCATGCCTGTAATCCCAGCACTTTGGGAGCTCAAGGCAGGCATATCACCTGAGGTCACGAGTTCAAGACCAGCCTGGCCAATATGGTGAAACCCCATCTCTGCAACAAAAACAAAAATTAGCCAGGTGTGGTGGTGCACACCTGTAGTCCCAGCTACTTGGGAGGCTAAGGTATCAGAATCACTTGAACCTGAGAGACAGAGGTTGCAGTGAGCCGAGATCGCACCACTGCACTCCAGCCTACTCGACAGAACAATACTCTGTCTCAAAAAAACAAAAAGCAGTAAACAGGGAGGGACAAACATTAGTAACACATAAGGTAAAAGTTATAATCTCTATAGAGTCTTTACAAAAAAAACAAAAAAACAAGAAGACATAGCTTTAAAGGATACAAACAAGCTATTTGCTAAAGAAATATAAATGGTCAACAAACATGAAAAAAATTCAAATTCAGTAGAAACCAAAAGTTTTAAAAAGTAAAATAAAAACACATTGACATATTCCCCCTCTCCCATTTTTACAAATCACATTGTTAAAGATTTAAAAGACAAAATTATTTGCTGTAGGCAAGGGTGCGGTGAGAAGCGCATTCTCAAATATTGCTTACGGGACTGTAGGTGCACCACCTTCCGGGGGTATTTTCACGAAAAGTATCAAGAACTTAAAAATTACACATATTTTACTTCCCATCAATGCCACCTCTAGGAATTTATCCCAGAGAAATAATTATAGATCTACAAAGATATTCATCAGAGTATTGTTTATAATGAAGAAAAATAGCAAATACATGAATATATCAAAAAACAGCATATTCATCCTCTACAGCTATTGAAAAAAAGCCTTGTATAACAAAGTTTTCTAACCAGTGTGGACCATCTTGTGAATCAGATAGAAAGACATTTCTTTCAGACTCAAATTACATACCCCACACAAGAAGAAAGTTACCTTAGCTTAGCTCAGTTTCTTTGTTAGCCTTATTGAAACTAACTTTACAGGTTCCCATTATTCTTTTGTGTTGATGCCGCTTGCATCATGTGGATACAGCCTTTTAAAATGTGCAATAGACAATCTGAGCAACCACAGACGTTCCCCCTTTTCATTCTAATCAATTATTTCTGTCAATGCACTGTAGGGGCATTTTTTAAAGAACACTTTTATTTTCTCTTTTACAGCTTTTGCTTTGTATGCATACCTGTTTGTCACAGAAATCCACTTTTCTGAAATCCAGGAAACAAAGACTACACCTGGCATTCCCCTTCCCCTCTTTAGCTATCTTGGACTGTTACACAATAATCACTTTCTCTCTAGGGTCCTCTTATATTCCATCCACATCATTGAGTTCTCCTGCTTTCTGGTCAGAACAGAGTCCACAACAGCTTGTTTCTTTGTTGCTTCCCCAATGATTCTTTATTTCTGTGCTCTCCAGTTTTTAAAGAATTTCAGATATCATATATAATCCTCACCATAATGGAAAATAAATGGTCATAAAATATGTCAGGAATGTCTCAGATATTTTCTCACAACAGAATATTACAATTTAAAGTGAAGTACCATCCATATACTTTGTCTGGTGGGATAATTTACACTATTCCTGCTTCCTTTTACTCATACGTAAATACTCTTGCTTTGTCTCTACTCTTAACTGCCATCTTCACTTCCAATCCTTCATATTTTATAAAGCTGAACACTTATTTCCTCAATGAGATACAGCTCTTTTGATCAAAGATTCTTAGATAAGAATAAGCATACACTGAAACAATCAATTTGAAAATTGGCTCTTTCACGCATGCTTGTAGTCAATAACCGTTCTCCACACCTCAGGCAAGTTGTCTAGCCTCTCTGCATTATCAACTTACTTACTTCATAGAAACACTAGGGAGTAAATATAGTTTATATAGAACATCCAGACCTGAACTTCCAAGTCCTAGGCTCAGTAATTGACAATCTTTTTCTCATTAGGTTTTCATAATAACTGTAAAATTATATTTACCTTCTTAGGTTAAAATATAAAATTCATTGAATTGGTATTAAGATACATAAGGTCACAAATGTTCTACCTAATCTTCCTATTACCATCTCCAAAACATTTCTGGGCAATTTCTCTATTAATATTATTTCTAGGCAGCAGCTCTTGCCTTTGGGAGTCCAAATGCCTACTATGCATTCTCAAGGAAGCCTTTGATGATCAAGCAGAATAAAGTGATCTCTCTCCACAATGCGTATCTTCTCTGTTCTTGGAGTGCAACTGTTAGCCTTTCATCTTCACGTCTCGTCTTCTACACTGTGATTTCCCTGAGGTGAGGCAGCATGCCTCGTATGCTTCTTTGTGTCCCCAAAGCCCACTGCAATATTTTGCACACTCGGCAAGTTACTTAACATCTTTGAGTCTCTTTATTTATTTGTTACATAATGGAATTCAATTAGATGATCTCTAAAATCCTTTCCCACCATAATTCCATAAAGAGTTTGGAATAAATGATTTTTGGTTTTTGAGGCAGGGTCTTACTCCCTTCCCTCACGGCTCACTGCAGCCTCAACTTCCTGAGCTCAGGTGATTCTCCCACTTCAGCTTCCTGAGTAAGTGAGGCTATAGGCACCTGCCACCACACCCAGGTAATTTTTTGTATTTTTAGTAGAGACAGGGTTTCGCCATGTTGCCCAGGCTGGTCTTGAACTCCTGGGTTCAAGTGATGTGCCCACTTCAGCCTCCCAAAGCGCTGGGATTATGGGTGTTAGCCTCCATCCCTGGGTCTGGAATAAACGATCTTTATAATAACTATGCACTCTAATGTTCTAGAATTCAAAAGCATTTTTACTATAACTGCTTGTTCCGGTGTTTGTCTCACTCATTAAAATATCAGTGCTTTGTAGGCATTGTATGCCCACACTGCTACCTCAGTGCTTGCTACACAGCCAGGATTCAGTAAGTAATCAATGAAAAAAAAAGAAAAAGACTCACAGACATACACACACACATACATATACACATATAAGGAGAAATCAAAACTATATTGTATTCTTTGGTAAATGCAATGAAAACTACAGTTTCCCACAGTATCAGTGAGGGATTGGTTCCAGACCTCCCAACCCCCGTGGATACCAAAATCTATGAATGCTTAAGTCCCTTTTACAAAACAGGATAGCCTTTGCATACAGCCTACACACTTCCTCTCACACACTTTAAATTACCTCTAGATTATGTGTAATACCTAATACAATGCCTAAACATCATTTCATTTGCCTGGATTCAACACAGTACTCAGCGTGTGGCAAATTCAAATTTTGTTTTTTGGAATTTTGTGGAATTTTTACCCCCCCCAAATACTTTCAATCCACAGTTGACTGAATCCATAAATGCAGAACCCATGCATATGGAGGGATGATTGTATACTAATTTAAAATGGTGATAATATACACTTCTTAGAGTTGTTATAAAGACTATATTAAACTAAATGCATATAATACCTAATACAGTATTTGACCCATATTACTCAATTAATAGTCATAATTACTTTATTTCAATCTTTTATCACATTCAGTCCATGAATCTTGAATTAATATTCTAAAATTACATATCAACTTTCTAAAATGGAACCAAAAATTTCTTATTTATCTTCAAATATGTTATAATATATTCATACAGTATCCTCTATGGTTGACAAATCTTTATATTAAAATTCTCTTTTTGGCTGGGCACAGTGGCTCACGCCTGTAATCCCAACACTTTGGGAGGCTGAGGCGGGAGGAATGCTGAGCCCAGGATTTCAAGACTAGCATGGGCAATACAGTGAGATCCCGTCTCTACAAAAAGTTTAAAAATTAGCCAGGCATGGTAGCACATGCCTGCAGTCCCAGCTACTCAGGAGGCTGGGGTGACAGGATCCCTTGAGCCTAGGAGGTTGTGGATGCAGTGACTGGTGATTGTGCCACTGCACTCCAGTCAGGGCTACAGAGTGAAACCCTCTCTCAAAAAATTAACTTTTTAATGAGTAGATCCCAGAAAATGGTTAATTGCTTGAAGTCATGCTTTTGCCGTGTAACAGAGTCAAGTTATTTTAACTCTTCATGTTTTCCAGTAAGCATCCATTATGAAAGAAATGAATGTCCTATATATGCAGTGCTATTTTCATTGCTTTAATCATTTAAAGTTACGGTGATGCACAGCATAATGCGTTTTGGTCAACCATGGACCGCATATACGATGGTGGTCCTGTAAGATTATAATGGAGCTGAAAAACTCCCATTGCCTAGTGATGTCGTGGTCGCCAAAATGTCATAGCACCATGCAGTACTCATGTATCTGTGATGATATTGGTATAAACAAATCTACTGTGCTGCCAACTGTATAAAAGAATATAGCATATGTAATTATGTATACTACTTTATAATAACTATGACAGTGGTTTATGTACTTACTATTTTTCACTTTTATAATTATTTTAAAATATATTCCTTGTATTTATTAAATAATAAATTAACTGTAAAACAGCCTCAGGCAGGTCCTTCAGGAGGTATCCAGAAGAAGGCATTGTTATCATAGGAGATGGCAGCTTCATGCACCTTATTGACCCTGAAGACCTTCCAGTGGGACAAGACGTGGAGGTAGCAGATAGTGACACTGATGATCATGATCCTGTGTAGGCCTAGACTAATGTGCGTATCTGTGTCTTTGCTTTTCACCAAAAAAAGTTTAAAAAGTAAAAAAAAAAAATTTATTTATAAACATTATTCATATTTATAAATAATAATTTTTAAAAGCTTATGGAATAAGACTATACAGAAAGAAACTATTTTTGTACAGCTGTACAACATGTTTGTGCTTTAAGCTAAGTGTTATTATAAGAGAGTTAGAAAGTTAAAAAAATTTAAAAGTTTATAAAGTAAAAAAAGCTATAGTAAGCTAAGGTTAATTTACTATTAAAGAAAAACATATTTTTAAATAAATGTAGTGTCACCTGAGTGTACAGTGTTTGTAAAGTATACAGTCATGTCCTAGGCCTTCACACATTCACTCACCACTCACTCACTGAATCACCCAGAGCAACTTCCAGTCCTGCAAGCTCGATTCATGGAAAGTGCCCTACACAGATATTCCATTTTTTATCTTTTATGCCCTATTTTTACTGTACCTTTTCTATAAAATGCTTAGATCAGTTTAGATACACAAATATTTACCACTATGCTACAACTGCTTACAGTATTCAATACAGTAATATGTTATACATGTTTGTAGCTTTGGAGCTATAGGTTCCATGTAGCCTAGGTGTATAAAAGATGTTACCATCCAGATTTGTGTAAGTATACTCTAATATGTTCACAAATGACGAACCTGCCTAACAACTCACTTCTCAGAATATATCCTTATCATTAAGGGATGCATGAATGCAAATTATATTTGATTTTTTGCAGCATTCTTATTAAGAATCATGTAATTTACAAATTGCAATGCTTTTTTAATGTTAAAAAGAAAGGAAATAAACCACTGGGCAAAAATACCCAAGCTTCATTATTTCTGCATAAATAAGCTCTTTAAAAAGATATAGGACTTGAATATATTGAAAGACATAAAGCAGATTTTGAAATATTCATGCCAACTTATCAATAAAGGAAATATGAAACTATACTCATCAAGTCCTTTACCATTACTTTTATGATAAAGAAACTCACAGCATTTATACATTTTGTTTCTTTGTGAGAAATTTTAAAAGGTTTTACAAAGTACAGGTAAAAAGATCATGAAAAATACAATATTGCTCTTTTTTTGTTCAAGCTTTATAAAGATTAAAATTTTTAATTTTAAAATATTTTAAAAGTTAAAATCCTAGAATTGTAACCGCAGGATCAGGAAATTTTATGTAAAGTACAATCAGTACACCATAGTAAAGAAAACAGCAGTTACCTGGGCTGCTCCTGTAATCATATTTGGAATGAAGTCCTTATGGCCTGGAGCATCCATTAATGTAATAACTTTGGTTGTGGTTTCAAACTTTGTCATACCAACATCCATGGTTACTCCCCTTAAACAAAACAAAACATGGTTAGAATGTACTATGTAAATAGTGCTATAGAGTAAATTAATAATAGTCTACATGCCCATCTACATTCTTAGGTAAAAATGAAAATTGTATTTATAGACCATTATTTTTGAATAATTAAATTATCATTCGGGGCTGGAATTTCTGCTATAAGAGAAGTGCATCCTTACGGCTTTAACACAAAGTGGTGGACACAGTAAGAGCTCAATAAAAATGATAGTTATGCCCTATTACCTTATTTGTTTTGTAAGAAATAGTGTAAATTGTGAAGAAAGATAGATACATGGGGACAACTCTAAATGGGGGGAAAATACTGCATATGAGAAAAGATAAATGAAAAATTACCACGACCAAGAGGTAATTTTCTTCATGTTCTATGCTTATGCTTCACTAATTATAGAAATGAGCTTATAAAATGTACATTTGCAAGGCTGGTTAGTATGCTACATATTTAGAAAATACAAAGTATCAAAGCAGATGCCTAATTTTTAAAAACAGATGAACAGCAGATTGCTTTGTATCCCACTTAATTCTTCTTGGAGACAAACACAGTGCCTTTTTTCAGCCACAAAAATGTAGATTCAGATTAGCGAAATGCTTGGGACTAGAAGCTTTTCAAATGGCAGATTTTTTCGGATTTGGAATATTTGCATATACAAAATGAGATATCTTGGGGATGGGACCCACATCTAAACACAAAATTCCTTTATGTTTCATACACACATTATACACGTAGCCTGAAGGGAATCTTATGCAACATTTTTAGTCATTTTGTGTGACCTGTCACGTGAAATCAGATGTAGAATGTTCCACTTGTGATGTCATGTCAGCACTCAAAAAGTTTCAGATTTTGGAGCATTTCAAATGTCATATTTTCAGATTAGGGATGCTTAACCTGTAAAAGAAGGGCCCAAGGAAGGTCTACAAAGGCACTCAGTCATTCCAGGCCTCAGGAATTTAGACAGGGAAATCATGTGGCAATTAACTAGGTCTGCCCCAAAATCACCCGAAGGAAGGACTAATAATACTCCCTTTTACTACCAAGAGTACAACAATTAGAATAATGAACTATAGGTTTGCCCTAGCAATAAAGTAACTGTAGATCTCCCTAGTCAAGCCATTTGAGTTTAATCTGAAAGCATGGGCCATCCTAGTTTGCCAAAATGATGCTTAATTCTCTTTAATAATTCCCAAATAGTCTAGGAACGACAGGCACCTTCAGAATAATGGTGAACTAAGAATTATTCTGAGATCCTCCCTAGACTGACCTGGGTATACTCTGCTGATCCAGCTCTGATTTCAATTTGTAACCCTAAGGATATGAAATGTCACTCAACTTATCAATTTCTGTTCTTCAGTATCTGAGAAGAACAGGAGATGTACAAATATTTAACATGGTGGGATAAGCAACATATTATGCTTTGTAAATGCTATTAAGGAACATATGGTGGTGAGCTAAAACTCCCATCATGTATGTACCTAGAAGCATCTGCTATCTATGGAATGATGAAATATTCTAAAACTTATATCATGCTGAGCAATAAAGAACTAGCAGCAGTAAAAGGCAGCAGCAAAAATATGAAAACCAATCAATAGATATATTGTCAAAAAAGCTAAAATGACTGACCATTATAGGAATCAAATAGACTATTAGTTCACTTGCCAGCTCAACTAAGATACTAGATAAATTCAAGTAAACCATTCGAACTTAAATTATACTGTTCTCAAAGTCTTTACTTGCTTATTAGATAATGCAAAGAAAACTAAAAAGCCACATACTTTAATAGTGTGCTTGTTAAACTGAGAGGTGAAAATTATTTAAGCTTCTAATAATGCAATATATACAATTCCATTGTTTTCCAAAATTGGTAACTGTCCAGCTAATTTTTCTTACTAGGATAGAAAACAGGTCTGTGATACTGTCCAGAACTAAAGACACCCACAAAGAGAAACCATTATGATACAAATTCTGGTACATCAGAAAAGCTAAGGAATACTGTGACCTGCTTTACAGAGTGTTACCTTGTATGTTATAATGGAGACTATCCAAGACTGCAAGAAAATACCCATTAAAAAGGCATGTGAATCCAGATATATTCTCCAATAATCAGACTGAAGACATCAGGGAACACAGTTTAATCACCCTGTTAATTTAGGACTTCCACAGGACTTTACAGGTTTGTAAAGAGTCATTATTTTGATACAGTAATGTATCTGCCATTTCACTAATTATTAAGGTCTCCTTTGGCTCTCCCACCCTAATAACCCTAACACGATCTATACTGTCACTCTAAAAAGACTTCAAAAGAAATACTATTCTTTGGCCAGAGTATATGAGTAGCTGCATATTCCTACTAGAATCCCCCCAAAATTAGCACTCAATACAGTAACAGAGACAGAGGAGTAACTGCATTACAGCTACAGAATTACTTGTTTGCTGACTGTCTCATAAAAACATAATATATACAGTATAAAAATGAATTGTTTGGTAATTTGAATTTGCTGGTTATTTAGATTCTAGACAGAATAGGTTTTACTACAGTTACCTTTCCTTTGTAAGCTGACATGAAATTAAGTCTTACTCATAATTTTAATTCAAAATCAAGACAATTTGACAAATACTTAGGGAAGTGACAACTGAAACTTATCCCATAGAATAATTAGCTTATGATTTTTACTGTTTTTTCTGCATGGCTTTTGTTTTGTTTCTTTTAAACATTCTTTTAATCTATTTCATAAAATTCAGAAGAGAAAAAACAGTATGTAGATTACAACAAAAAAAGTCAAAATATTTCCCTGATATTTAAAAGCTATTTTCTAAAAATAATCTCTAAAGTATTTATGTTTTACAAATTCAACACATATTACACACATATTTTAGAAGACTGTATGACTTCAAACTGAAAATTTTGAAATATAGTGACTACCTTTCCCTTTCTTCGCCAGTTTCATCCAAGACCCATGCATATGCAAATGAAGCTTTGCCAGCCTTTTTAGACTCCTGTTCATACTTATGCATAGTTCTTTTGTTTATATTACCCAGAAGATAAAGCATATGGCCCATCAGAGTACTTTTCCCAGCATCAACATGACCTAAAGAAAATTGATTCAGGATTAATACCAGGTACATTTCCAGATGTTCACACATTGAGGCACTGCATAAATGTGTAATTCAATATTTCATGTTAGTGGTTTACAGTAATACCAATATTTATCAAATGACAGTTACAACATCTAATTGAAAAAAACAGCATGTCTCTTTACAAAGGGGGGAAATTTCTCAGATTTTTGAAAATTAAAATTGTCAACAAGACATGCCGATTTCAAAATGTTCACAAAATGAAAAATCCCACAATCAAGTGTAATGACCTCTTTGGTAACTTGGCATTCTCTCTCCCCAGGTGACTAGAAAGCATTATGAGGCCCTGTGCCTCCTCGCTCTCTGTCCATTCCACCCATGGAGAAACTCAGAGTTTCCATGCTGCCACCAGACAGTGGGCAGGCTAAGGCATGGCTGGCTGACGATCCAGAGGGACAAAGAGCATTACCAATGACCACCAAGTTGAGGAGCTGCTTCCCTCCTTGCCGCTTCTCCAGTTCCGCCTTCACATCTAATTGCTGCCTCAGCTTGCCAGACTTTTTCACCGGTGCTGGGGTTGAACTCTGCTCTTCTGATGCTTGAACCGTCAGGGGTGGATTGGCAGATTTAGAAGCAGTCTCAAGAACATCAGAAGAAGCAATGGCATCTTCAATGGGCCGTTCTTTTTGAGGTGTGTGGAAACTATGACCATTTTCTTCAGAAGATACTCTATAGAAGGCAGATAGGAAAAAAGTATTTTAAACCAACTCTATTGATGTCCTGTAATGTCAGAAGGGCAGAGAAGCTGTTTCTTCATAATCCTTTATGCTGCAGACCAAAAATAATCTCTGCTAAGTAGCTAAAGTCTGTTAAAGTGGAAATGATAAGTAGCTAGAGTCAAACCACACAAATACAGACGTGGAAGACCCAATGAGAAAAACAGTGTACCAAAAATGAAGATAAGAAGAAAATATGTTGAAAAATAACTGAAATTCAAAATCTAAGCCCACAGCCTTGGCCATATAATCCATCCTATCAAAATCAATGTTATAAAGGAGATATTTTGTCAAAATGGTATCAAATATATTACTGGAGATGAATTAGTACTAAAATATAGTTTTACTTCAACTCATCCTTCCAACATAATAGACTTATGATCTTTTTCACTCAAACACTACCCTTAGGGGAGATATCTCTAAATGACTACAGTTCATAAACATTTTTGACAGTGGAGCTTTAATTCATTAATTCAACAAACACTTGATTTACTAAAAACTACAACATATACTAGGGACTGATGTCAAAAAGAAAATGACATAGAAATTAAAAAGTCAACTACCACTCCCAAAAGATTACAATCTGGTGAGGAACTCAGATATATAAAGGAGAAACAAGGCTGCCCAGCTTAACTTATTCTTCCGTTGACAAAAGTAAACATTGATCTTAGTTCTTCATGAGCTTGTTGACACTCCACATAGAATCTAGTACCAGTGCTACTCTGTGAACAGCTATAAGGAATGTGACTTAATAATCAGACTATGATATACCTCACTTTCCTTTAACAACTATAGATAAACAGAATTAGGAGAGAGCAGGTTAAATTGGAAGTTATTAAGAATGAAGCCAATTACATCCAACTCAGTGTGGAGCTGACAGAGAAAAACTACATACAGAAAGCAGTTTATAATAATCATTTAAGATTGTAGCATGATGGATATGTATAAGCACATCTATTTTCTTCTTGCCTATTATTTTTCCCTGTCAGGGCATTTTTATATGCCCAATATTAGTCCTTCACAATATGCCTCAGGAAAAGAGTCACATTAGTTATATTTGCAACTTCATTAAAAGCCACATATCCTTTCTCATTTTATTTTGCTTTTTCAAATCTCTACTAACCAATTTAGGTATTAATTTTTGAGCACTACTTAGACAGATGCACTTCATCTTAAACTAGTAGGTAAAAACAGTAGTATGTGGAAAATGTTCCATAGTTTTAAATGATTCTAACAGGCTAAATTAAGTGAAATCAAACAGACTCTAATTTGCAAATATTTGTTTGAATGACCACAGCTAGTTCTAAAAGCAAAACATGATAACTTTGTATTTAGAAGAATGTAAAAAGCCCTACAAACTATAACACAAGTGATCTACTGTGACTAGACACAGGCTCTGGTTTGGATCAGACCTGGGAGAAATCACAATCTCGGGCCCCATATCTTTTTGCTTTTAGCTGCAAAACATTTTCTTCAGAGGCAAGCTTACACTAAATTCAATATGGAAAACAGATCAGAGCAGACAGCTATGGTGGACAGAGTGGGCAGGGGCTTGAAGCTCACGCTTTCAGGATAGCATTTCCATTTAAGTAAATCTTTTTTTTTTTTTTTTTTTTTTTTTTGAGATGAAGTCTCGCTCTGTCACCCAGGCTGGAGTGCAACGGTGTGATCTCAGCTCACTGCAACATTTGCCTCCCAGGTTCCAGCGATTCTCCTGCCTCAGCCTCCCGAGTAGCTGGGATTGCAGGCACTGGCCACCACACCCGGTTAATTTTTGTATTTTTAGTAGAGACAGGGTTTCACCATGTTGGCCAGGCTGGTCTCTAACTCCTGACCCCAAGTAATCTACCTGCCTCGGCCTCCCAAAGTGCTGGGATTACAGGCGTGAGTCACTGTACCCGGCCCCTTTTAAGTAAATCTTAGGTAAACTGTAAATTGATTCACTAAAATTTTACAGTGTTGGTGGGAAGTGACCAAAGTAATTAGAAAAGTATCCTAGGTAAGTCTGCCCTTAGTCAAAAAAACTTCTGCACATTACGAAATAAAAGTCAATGTTTTAAGTTTTGAAAAATATCTAAGATAAGGTCTAAAAATGACCACTTGGATTGCAGGCCTATAATTAATTACTGATTGGTATGAATGAAAGAATAAGTTGGTTGAATTTTTTTCAGTTGCTTTCTGGTATCATTTTGTAAACTTTTTTTTTTCTTTCCTTCTTTTTATTGAGATGTTCTCGCTCTCACTCTGTTGCCCAGGCTGGAGTGCAGTGGCACAATCTTGGCTCACTGCAGTCTTGGCCTCCCAGGTTCAAGAGATCCTACCTCAGCCTCTTAAGTAGCTGGACCACAGGCATGCACCACCATACCCAGCTAATTTTTTTTTTTTTTTTTTTCGGTAGAGATAGGGGATCTCAATATATTGCCCAAGCTGGTCTTGAACTCTTAGGCTCAAGTGATGCTCCCAGCTCAGCCTCCCAAAATGCTGGAATTACAGTCCTGAGCCACAATGCCCACCCTGTACACTTATCTAATATTATAAAATGACTAGTCTTTTTTTTTTTTCTCTAAACTACCTTTCTAAAAGTAACCTATAGATGAATCTAGAGGTTTAATCTTTCTTCTTGAGTTAAATACTTGAAGCTAATAATTGAGATTTAAGAGTTTAAAAGAAGAATATTTCTTCTATATGCAATATTCCATTTCTACTTACATGCATTTACTTGCATCTACTATTTTTAATGTTATTAAAGAAAAACAAAGTTTGCTGTTTCAGTTCCTTCCAAGCAATACATTACGCATTATCCTTTTTTTTTCTTCTTCCAAATAGAAACAGAATCTCACTCTGTTGACCAGGCTGGAATGCAATGGCAGGATCATAGATCCCTCAAACTCCTGGGTTCAAGCAATCCTCCCGCCTCAGCCTTCCAATGTGTTGGTATCACAGGCATAAGCCACTACACCCAGCCATATCCTTTTTCAAATAAGACATCATTGAGAATCACACTATATAGAAACCTATGATGCGAAATCTTGACTCAAAAGTGTTTCATTGTGTTTCTATATGCTTTCTTAAGACTAACCCAGAACAGGCTAAGTGTTATCCCTATTATAAATCTCAAAAAAATCCCATAATAGTACGACTTGGTTGGCCTTGAGCATTTCTGAGTATTTCAATCTGTAACTACAGACCTTTCATATTCTAACAACTTCTCCCATAGAATCACATCAAAATGTTGCCTCATGGGTGAATTTTTTACCTTTATATTATTTGTAAGTTTATCTTTAAAATAATATGTATTTCCCCAAGGATTCTGAGCAACACATATTTAGTAACTATTCTGTAAAAGGAATACAGTGATGAACATTAACAGTCCCTGGCCTCATGAAGAATACAGTCATAAAATTCTGAAAGGCCTGCATTGTACTTACAGAGCTTTAAAAATTACACACATTTATTGACACATTTATTACCCATTATCGTTATAATTATTCATTTAGATACCTATGCATTTACTTCTAATATAATACATTATTTTGGGTTTATTTGCATGTTGCTAAGACTTCTGAAAAATCTTTTGAACTAAGATTATAAAATCCTTAGGACAATAAATTGTATATTCTATTTATTTCCTCTCTCTCTCTTTCTAATGGAAAAATCCCATAATAGAATTAAATGGCACTCAAGAATAAGGACAAAAGGGGCGATTATAATTCTGACAACCCAATCCCAGTTCAGAAGGAAAAACGGCATACATGAAGCTTTTTGAGACCAAATCAGAATTCTAAATTATTTTAACAGGCTAAAGTTACTCATGATAGAAATTAACTTTTTCATTCATCCAATCATTCAATTAATGTATACTGAATGCCTACTATGTCCTAGATAAGGAGTCCTTTCCTTCACTGACTTTGAAATCTAGTGAATAAAGTCTTGTTTCTATAAAACCCAAAAACTGAACTAGGTGATAATTAACATTCTTCCCAACCAAAACTCATGATACCTCACTAATTTAGACAAAAGAATATTGTAAGGAAAAAAAAATAAGGCTCCTGAGTTTATATTTTTTAAAAAATATAACTTAGGAAAAGGGAGAAAAAAAGGGAAAAAAGTCTGTATATAAAAATCTGTTGTTTACAGTTAAAAACCTATTGTTTATATTTGATAACAATGCTTCTTTATCATTTTGACAGACAAAATACATACAATTTATAAGTAAAAGATTTATTGAACAATTGAAAATTCTGAAAAACTTTAGTTTAAAAATTAATGGCTTCAAAGCAACTCACTTCCCTTGTCTATAAAAACTTCTGGAAGGATTCTAGAGACTGTGATAAGAACAAACAAGTGCTACCAAGGTATGCTTTATTTCCATTTTTCACTACTTGTTTCAAATTCTAGGTATGTTTCATATCGTATGTCTTTGCTACAATGGTCCAATTTATTCAATACAAAAATCCAAAAGAGTTTAAAAATATTTCAGTTTTTAAAAAATTTAATTAATGATTCCATGATTCGGGACTCACTCCGAAATCTGGTTATCTCCGCCACCTAGTGGTATAAGAATTCCCTATCTCACGGTGCTAGTTTTCACAAAATCATAGGTTTTTTTACGTTAAAGTAGCTATAAAATATTTATGTGAGAAAACTGACAGTGAGGTAGAGTAAGTAATACACACAAGATAAGGCCAGAATCAAGCCTAATTTCTCATTTTGTCTCTTTGCACTATGTTGCGCTGAGGATATATGATACTTCAATGCTAATGATATATGATGCAAAATTGAAACAGTCTTTCTTACAGACTAATAGGAGGCAATACTAATTTCAAAAACGTGGGGGTGGGAGTGGGGATGAGGGGGGTACTCAAAGTCTTACCCAGGCACTTCAAATCCCATAGTTTGCTTCTTTCCAGATACAGTCATTTTAGCAACTTTTGGCACAATTTCAGATTCACTTCGCGATGTCTGGGAATCTACTGGTTTTCCTAATTAAGGAGTAAAATATAAAAGGCCAATTAATTTATTTAGTAATATACAGAAATCTATTACGTATTATTCTAAATTATAGATTATAACTTTCGCAGAATAAATGTCTTTATAAACACATAATTTTGTCTCTAAAAAATTTAGTAAGATATTAATGCTGAAAGAAAATCTGTCACTTTAATCTAGGAAATCCCCTATTGTCAGGACTCTCCTATGCTTAACCTCCACCAAATCTCTTCCTAATTTTGAACTGACTGTTAAGTTTCAGTATTAAGAGGTCACAAGGTAGTTTCTGCACTGAGCCTTGTTCTGACATTATACCTAGACCCTATACCTCCCTTTCCTACCACACCCTTTCACAATACTAAAATTGTTTGGTCAGTTAGCAGATGGCTAAACTATTTTTAATCCTGTGAGATTTACGAATGAACAAGTTGAGAGTCCACTGAATTGTGCTGGAATATAGTTTATATTTTACTTGCACACAACACTAGACTTACTAAAACACTAGTATCTATAAAGAATCTGGGGAAAGAGGTTAATGTAGAAAACTGAATTAAGAACATGGCGGAATTAGTCAGGCATGGTGGCATGTGCCTGTAGTCCCAGCTACTCGAGAGGCTAAGGTGGGATGATGAGTTGAGCCCAGGAGTTTAAGGTTGTAGTGAGCTATGATAATGCCACTGCACTCCAGCCTGGGTGACAAAGCAAGGCTCCGTCTCAAAAACAAGAAAAAAGGCTGGGCATTTTTACAGGCTCACGCCTGTAATCCCAGAACTTTGGGAGCCAAGGTGGGCAGATCACGAGGTTAGGGGTTCGAGACCAGCCCGACCAAAATGGTGAAACCCATCTCTACTAAAAATACAAAAATTAGCTGGGCACGGTGGTGCACGTCTGTAATCCCAGCTACTCAGAAGGTTGAGGCAGGAGAATCGCTTGAATCCAAGAGGCGGAGGTTGCAGTGAGCCAAGATTGCACCACTGCACTCCAGCCTAGGCAACGGAGTGAGACTCTGTCTCCATAAATAAATAAATAAACAAACAAACAAACAAACAAACAAATAAAATTAAAAATGGAGGAATGGAGGAGAACAAATTATGAGCTAGATCAAAGAAAGACTTTTTTTTGCATTTGATTCCTACATAATTCATTGAACTTTTAAAAATGTGTCTTTATAATTTTCAGAAAAAGTACCATCAGGATTGGATCCACATAAAACTATAGAAACTGCATGTGCTACATTGGTAAATACATATACAGAAACCACTAACAATATAAGAAAAGATAAGTTAATGTATAAAATTCATTCAAAATGTTTGCTATTTGTCTATATACACCAGGCACTATGCTGGAAATGCGATGGTGAAGAGCAGACGTAATACTTGCTCTAAGAGAGATTACATTCTAGTGGGGAAAACATACTAAATGGTTAAAAAAAAGAGTACAATTAAAATCGTTATTAGTGTTATAAAGAATCCATATATGGTGCCATAAGATTTGATGATAGGGCACATGACTTAGAGAGCTTCTCTGGGAAAGTGAGAATTGAAGCTATAATGGGGAAAATGAATATAAATTATAATAACTAGCACAGAAAGAAAGAGCATTCCAAGCAGAAAGAGAGGCTTGTATAATGGCGTTTCTGTAGGAGGAAGCACAGTTCCTCAGAGGGAGTAAGAGTAGAAGGGAGCTACATGAAGCTGGAGAGATGGGCAGGGCCAGAGAGTGCAGGACCTTTAGGTCATACCAAAGATCCTAATGCTTGCTCTAACAGAGGCAGAAGTTACCAAAATGAGGTAAGCAAAAGAGAGGGGAAGGGGAAAGGGAGAGGAGGATGAAGTAAAGGGACATCTGAAAACAAACAGTTTAGGGAAAATTTTGAAATTGAGACATATTAGGAATTTGGACCTAATATTTGAGAGTTCCAAATGACAATGAATGTTAAATAGGCAGTTGAACATGTTGGTTGACCTCAAAGGAGAGGTCTGAGCTGCATCAACACATAATTGGTAATTGAAGACATAGATACAGGCGAGACCACCAAGGGAGAGAGCACAGAGCAAGAACAGAAGTGGTCCTAAGAGGCCTTGGAAGAACTCTAGCATTTAATGCCAAGATAACGGACAATACACCTACAAAAAGGTGAAGGAGAGCCAGGGAGGGTGGTGCCAAGGAAGCTAAGGGAAGAGAGTGTTTGATGGAGTTGGCATCACCAGGATCTGGGGCTCTGGGCCAGTCAACTGAATGAAGACTGAAAACATTCACTGGTGACATGATCACTTTAGATAAAAGTCATTGGTAGAGTTAGCAAGAGTCAATTGAAAAAAGTGAGAAAGTAAAAGCCAAACTAGGTTAAAAAATATAAGGTGAAAAATGAAGGCATGTTCACTACTTCTCATCTGTAATTTCAAAATCCAAAAGCACTGAAATATTAAAGTTTTGGGTTTTATTATTTTAATAACTCATTTGGAAGCAAAATCTAACATGGACTGATATGAAGCTATTTATTGATAGCACTTATTGATCCTATTGAAAGTGACAGCCACACACTTCAGGGCAGAAATGGCAATGTGTCTGATTACAGGGAACTGCTCCACAATTCACTGGGGCTATTATACTACAGATGGTATGTACATGCTAACGTTTTCCTAATCCAAAATATTCCAAATTCTAAATCAAATCAGGTCCCAAGAGCTTTAGATAGGGATTGCATATGTATGAAAATGATTCTTTTAAAAAGTTTGTCTAAAAAGGGAATATGGCAGAAGAGCAATAGAAAGGGGAAATGGGATCAAGCTGATAGGAAAGATTAAATGGAGAAGGTTTAGTTGAATAAATTACGAAGAGATCATCAATACTTTAGAATTTCTGAGAAGGTAGAATGAGATGAAATCCAAAGTACAGGTAGAAACTGAGCTGAGACAGGAGAAACGCTATTTTATTTCAATAGAAGGCAGCTTTGCATGTTTAGGAACTGGAAAATGAAAATTCCTAATGGATGATTTCTATTTTCTCCGTAATACAGCACCTAATTATGCTCTGGGATCACCCAAGGAAAGTAAAAAGATTTGCAAAGTGAATAAGGTTTTCAATAACTGCTGTGCAAAAACAGAGTAAGTTGAACACTTAAAAAATAAAAGGAACTGTTGGATAGTATTGAGGGCCCATTTAAGATTTGTGATAATGAATTTATAGTGGAATCTATCTGCCTTTGTGTGACTTTCTCTAGCAATGTTCAGCCATTAATGAAAAAGGCACAGAGAAGACACTAACTGCTTCATTAAGAGTTAAGGATCTATCCAACAGGTATAAGAAGAAATTATATGGCACTTAAATTACAAATAATGAAATCTAAGCTGATTTTTAAAAAATAAATAAAATGACAAAGGAAGAGTCCTGATGCACTAGGAGAAAGCAGAGGGGTCTGTAAGTAAAGAAGGAGAAGAAATCTTAGTAAATTTCTGATGAGAGGTGAAGCTCACTGGAAATAAGGTAGTCAAAGAACTGAAAATCCAGTGTTGGACTTGGTGGTACAGATGGGTCATGAGCGGTGATCATGAAGAGCTTAGGGGGAGAAGAAAAGAGTAAGCCAGCTGCCAAAGTCTCCCATGAGTAAGGAGAAGTGACCGTGAGGCTGTTCACTAGATGACAGCAGTAAGGACTGACAGAAGGCTGGCTCAGCTAAAGACAGTAACTTCAAAAGAACAGAAATCAAGGGGGGGAAGATGATGACAGAATCATGATGGAAAGGAAGGAAAGAGAACAAAGTTACCTTCCAGAGCCTGAGGTTTAAGAGGCTATAAATGAAGTAAAGCAAGGAGTAGAAAAAAACACTAGGAAAATAGATTGAGAATTACAGAAGGATTGGCTTTGCATGAAAAAGCAGTTCCTGAAGTTACAGCGAAAGTGAAGGGGAGTGAGAGGTGAGTGAGGAGATAAGGAAGGAGGATACTTAAGAGCATGATGATGATGACGATGATGAGGTGTGGGTATGTGCATGCATGTGTGCTAGGAACAAGGAGATATCCTGACAGATTAAAATAAGGAAAAGTGGCATGGGGGATTCTGGCCCCTGTCAAAAGGAGGGAAAAAAAACCATAGAGCATGAAAATGTCTCAATCCAGTCTTTACAACACTAATTCCAACTTCCTGTTATAGTTCATCTTAGTATCTTCCAACCATTTTGCACGTAAAAAATTTCTTGTCCCACTTAACATATTTAGTGCACTGAAATACGGAAATTTTGGCTTTTAAAAAAGTAGGTGGGTCATACAATGGCATAAAAGGTTCTAAGCACACAAAAAAATTGCAATGTGACCCTGTAATATTTCTGGGGATGCAATAAATATCATAATACTTTTCTTTTTGTGACTTTTCTATAGAACATCAAACTTGTGATGTAGCATTTCAAAAATGCAGTTATTTAAGTGAAAGTCTAGTATGGATTTGAATACCACCCCATTAAAGCAGTGGTTCTTAAATCTTTATTTTCAGTCAGGTACCCCTTTTAAAGACTAACAAAAACCATGGGGCATTCTTCATAGAAAAATGTACCATACATATAAAATTTTGCAGGCTATTTCAAGGACATTAATAAGTCCAACTCTAGAACTTTTGAGAGATAACCATGGCTAAGGCTATTTTGGAAATATATTAATTTAAATTAATAATGTTCTCCATAGTCAAGGATAAAAACATACATTCAGTAAATTATCCACTAAGCTGTTCTTTAACAGCAAGGTGATATACTTCTACTTAATCACATTACAAAGTCCCCCTCATGGCTAGCACCATTCTGGAAGGCAGGCAAACTCTACTGATATAGGTCAGAAAGGAACTCATAACTAAAATAACCAGTCACAGATCAATAAGAGATACATATATATAATCAAATCCATCGTATTTTTTAAAATGTAAAATGTTTACTGTGTTCTCTCATCTTCCCCAAACAACTGGAAATTCATTCACCACTTAACAATCCCAAGAAACTGAACACTAA